TTTTTTTTTTTTTTTTTCAATAACTATATATACACGGAAGAGTAAAAAATGTAAAGGCTGTGGCGCGTTTGGAGTATAATTCTCATACGACGTTACCACAATCGACAAAAGAGGTAAACGAAAATTCTTTGGTAGCTAATTATTTTCGGCATATAAAAATGTGTTCTTTGAATTTTGACTTTGAACCGCTTAAGTGTAAATAACACACTCGAAACGTCGTCGTCATTGCCGTATAATTAGCTAGAGAGCAACCGGATGAGTACAATGTTTTTAGTAGAGACTGTGCAGTTCGATAAGTGGCATTAAAAAAGGGATTACGATACTTCTTTCTTTTATTCTTTAAAGTAGGGCGACCTCTCAAAAGCTCAAAATGTCTAAGGTTTCGAGAATAAACATATTAAAAGAAAAAATCCCTTATGATCTCTTCACAATCCATCTTGTATTGTGAGGTAAAGCCAACATAAGCGAAGGAAACCTTTTAAATCTATCAGTGATGGTGCAACCGATTTGTCTCTAGTTTTTATTTCAAGCGTTCACTTGGTGACATCTTTGCGACATTCAATTTAGTAGTTTATACATAATTATTATTTTCAATAGACTACCGTTTACGTATTGAGATTATATTGCGATTAGTAATTGCTCGTGATTTTTTTTTTGTGTGTACAGATTCGTACATTTTTAACAATAAAAGAACCTATTCCGTTTTTCTAAAAAGTTCATCCTCAAAGAGTTTGGCTTAATCAACTTAATGTAAAATACTTCTTCTAGGTTTTTACATAAAGACTGTGTATAACCGTAAAAATAATAGAATTTTCGTAAATAATTATTTTCATTAAAATCTTTTAGTTTTTTTTTTCCAAGTTAAAAGTACGCCACGTGCTTTATCCGCTATAAACTTACCCGCGGCCATTTTTTTCATATTTTTTTAATGAAAACAGCTAAGTAACTCGGTAGCAAACGAATCGTTAAATTTTATGGTTTACGTTTTTTTAACCGCAATTAAAAATGTTCGTTTAAACGAGTAGCTCAGTTTTCCCTTATTTTGTTTTAAAAGTTAAAAAAATCCAATACGCTTCGCGCAATACTCGTAAAAAAGTGTACTGGTGTCAGATTTATGTTCGTGTTGGCCAGAATCTGTTAATCACATTCAGCTTACTTTGCTCAATAATTGCGTTGTTTCTACGCAGCGTTGTAGTTACTGTATCAAGCCCTTTATAATTACTATGTACTCATATTCAGGATTTATATTAATTTAAAAATGTTTAATAATGCCGAGTAGTAAGCTGTTATAAGAAAATGTTCAGTCGTCTGGAAAACGAGCATATGAATATTTTAAAAGGCTTATGCTTCAATTATAATTGTTGAAGAATAACATATTATGTTTATACTCTGATATGACTGGCCTTAGTTGAAAGAGAAAATAACCCTGAAAATATCATTCAGTTTTTATGCAATTTGTATGTTTAATCAATTTACAATGTTTCAATAAATAAAGCACTTGCGTTGAAAACATTTTTAATTTTAATGCAATTTGTCAAATTTAGTAATGAATTGATTAGTAAAAAAAGTTTTAATTTTTTTTTATCGTACAAAATTCTAATGTGTTCAAAAGTATACGTAATAATTAATGTTCAAACTAAATGAGAGTTATTTACTCATAGAATCACTAATTATTCAAAAATAATTATCGTGTAGTTATAATTATTTCTACTATTTTTATTTTCAGAACCTCCTTCAGCTCCTCAAAACTTAACGGTCAATTTTGTAGATCAGTCAACCGTGACTTTGTCATGGAATCCACCAAACTTTTTGGGAGGAAGAATAGACACCGTGTATAGAGTAACGTGTGACATGTGTGGACCTTCAGTTGTGTTCATGCCCAACGCAGTAAGTTGACACTACATAAAATCCTTGATGTTGACTCTAGAAATATTTTATTGATTTATGACATGTTTTTTTTGCAGGATGTGTTCAACGATACCAAAGTAACGATAAGTGGCCTAAGTCCTGTTACTACTTATAAATTCCACGTGTGGGCTGAAAACGGTGTGAGCAATTTGACATCAACCGAGCACCGACAGTTTGTTGACATTGCCGTTACAACTGAGGCATCCGTCAAATCAGCCTCCGTTAATAACGTCCGAGTAACTTTGGTGAAGGCATCCGAAATAGCACTGTCGTGGGATCCGCCGATTACATCCGGATACTCAGATTCTGGCGAGGAAGATCCAGTAGAAATTTATGAGGTAAAGATTATTGAAACAATTATAGCAGACTGTAAATTCGTCGTAAACTAATGTTAAATGTTACTTTATAGGTAAGGTTTTATCCTCGTGGAGAAGAATCCAACGCCAGCAATAAGCTGACAGCTGACAAACACATAGTTTTTGGTTCATTGAGACCGAAAACGGATTACGGTTTCCAAGTACGGGCTAAAACAGCGCATGGATGGGGAGAGTACAGTCCAATAATATACAAAACAACTGGTCTACCACTCAGTAGCACTAAGAGCACACAACAACAAATTCAAAGAAAAAATGGAATTAAAGACGATACGGGTAAGTTTTGTTTTTAAAAATAATATACTCTAGTCTGATACGTCTACACATTGAAGTTTTCCTGTTTTACTAAAATCGCTTAAATATGAATGTGTATGATTTATTAATAAAATATTGATGATGTTTTCTACAGCTTATATTGGCGACGAAGATAATATGGAAGTTCGGATTATAGCTGGAGCCACAGTAGCTGTTGTTGTGGTGCTTGTAGTAGTTATCATTATGACCGTATTGTTTTTGAGGAGGTAAGATGAAAATAAAAATCTACTGTAGATCGTGTATGATGCTTAATGTTTAATTATTTTCAGTCGGAGTAACGATGAGTGTAACAAAAAACAACCAAGTGACTGTGATACATTGGAATACAGAAATGGAGAAGGTAAGCTAATTTATAAAACTATGATGGTATTTTTTCTAAAATATTCATTTTTTATGTGTACCCACTGGTATGGCAAATCCAAAACTTTTACTTATTCAATATGTACGATAAATAGTAACCTTAAAACCTAATGTATTTAAACAAAATAATGACACTTATTATAATTATATCACAACATAAATAAATTATAACTTAAAAGTATTACCTTAACACCTAGTGATAAATTTGTTTGTGTTTTTTACACGCATTCATTTAAAGGACTTGTGGTTACCTACAGTAAGTTTATTTGAATTATTGTGATTTATGTGTTTCGATACCGATATTCGTTTAATTTTTTTATTGCTATTTTCAATTTTTTTATACATGTTGCAAAATTTTGCTTTTTTGTTATATTTTAATATTTATTTTTTTTACTAACATTTTTAGTAATATTTTGTATCCTGTAGAATTTAAAAAAATATATATTTTTATTAAAGTAAAAAAATTCTGCTCAAACGTTATCATATAAAGCTCATATATTTAACCCTTTAATGCAAATTACTTGTTTGCATATTTAGCTAAACTTATTGTTTGCCTGCATTCTGCTTTATGCTTTTGGTGTGAACCTTGTTTTTTTTTTGTTTTTTTAGTGCATTGCAATTTGGACAATCCTCCCATAGTAGCCACTCACACTAGCAGCAGTAAGTCCAACATCCAACTAATAGTTTTCCATCGTTACGCTTTTTCTTATTTTTACTCTAGTTGCTGAAGTTATTCTAAATTTGTTGTTTATATATTTGTTTGATTTTAGTGACCACACCATTGTTCACTCAAGTTGGTTCTACCACTTCAAGATCGTATATTGATCCACATACGTATGAAGATCCTAATCAAGCCGTTAAAGAGTTTGCCAGAGAAATAGATGCTTCTTATATTACTATAGAAGCAATTATTGGTAATTAAAATAAAACATTCATTTATTTAATGCATTATATACTAATTCCGTTGTGTTAAAAGGCGGTGGAGAATTCGGCGACGTTTGTCGAGGGAAATTAAAAGTACTTGGCTCGCCTTCGGTAGAGGTTGACGTTGCCATCAAAACATTAAAGCCCGGAAGTTCAGACAAGGCCCGCAATGATTTCCTTACCGAAGCCTCTATCATGGGACAATTCGAACATCCAAATGTGATATTTTTACAAGGCGTCGTCACCAGATCAAATCCAGTGATGATCATTACTGAATACATGGAAAACGGTTCTTTGGACACGTTTTTAAGAGTAAGTTTCAATTTTTCCATTTAATTTATCGTTTATATCTTTATTTGTATCGCTGTAACTTTTTTGGGTTAAACTTTTTTAATTTATTGTTGTATTCTGATTTATTGCGTTTCACAGGCCAACGATGGTAAATTCCAAGTACTCCAGTTAGTCGGCATGCTACGCGGTATTGCATCGGGCATGCAGTATCTCAGCGAAATGAATTATGTTCATAGAGATCTCGCAGCCCGAAACGTCCTAGTCAACGCTCAGCTCGTATGCAAAATAGCTGATTTCGGCCTCAGCCGAGAAATTGAAAGTACTACCGAAGGAGCATACACCACACGGGTAAGTTTGCATCAACAGTTAATTATTGTGTATCGTTTCTATATGATTAACGATATTTTTACACAGTTTTCAAATTTCCAGGGTGGTAAGATCCCTGTCCGATGGACTGCACCCGAGGCAATAGCATTCCGAAAGTTTACTTCCGCTTCGGACGTGTGGTCGTTCGGTATTGTTGTATGGGAGGTCATGTCATACGGTGAACGACCATACTGGAACTGGAGCAATCAAGATGTGATCAAGTCAATAGAAAAGGGATATAGATTGCCGGCGCCCATGGATTGTCCGGAAACTATTTACCAACTAATGTTGGACTGTTGGCAAAAAGAGAGGACTCATAGACCTGTATTCTTGTCCATAGTGAAAACGCTTGACAAACTAATTAGGTGTCCAGATACTTTGCGTAGAATTGCCCAGAATAGGTAAAATACAATTTTTTTATTTCGTTGAAATCATTTAGCAGATCGAACAAAGTCATTTTTTTATATTACTTGATAAAGCCAATGGAATAATTAAAATTATTTAAGCAACTTAATTTGCTATTTCACAACTTTAAAAAAAAAATTTTTTTAGTGCTTTATTGGGTTTGCTATATGATTGTGACAGCGATTGAATTCAGGGCTTTTGCATAATATTAATTTTATATGTATTTTAGTACAGACATTATTTGATTAAATCAAATAATTACAGCAAATTATGCTGAACTTGACACCATGCTGACAGGAGCTTGTTTAATTTTTTTTTTTTTTTATCGTGTTAAACATATTGTATATTTTATTAGACTTTGCTTGTTTCGATTTATTTTTATCATTTTAAAAATATATAAATGTATTTAATAATCCATCGAGCTAGTGTAAATATTGAAGAATTTTAGATTTCTAGATTTTTTCATTTTGAGAATGCATGTGGTTCATTTTTATACATTTTTTGTTTACGCAAGGTACAGTGTAAATTGGTTAATTCAAATTGATTAAAAATTAAGCAGTAAACACGAGATATGTAATGCGTATGTATTACATTCAGCAATAATTTAAAATTAAATTAAAAAAAATATTTACTTAAATTTCTTAAAGTTCAAAATAGTTTTTTGTGTGTATATCGAATTAATTTAAAATTTTCTATTGGAATTATTTTATAGTATATAATTTTTAAAAATGTTCATTATAACTGATATATATTTTGTGTACTTTTCATTTGGCTATACAAACACTTTATTTATTTGTACTCGGGTTTTGGTAATATACCGAAAGAGAAAATATTTCTGTAAAAAGCATGTTAGTTTGCTAAAATAATACAATTTTCAACTCGAAATATAGATTCGTAAAAATCAGTTTGACAATTTATCTTCGAGTAAGTTGTTTTTATATCGCGCTATTCATTTTTAAGTAGAAAAATTTCCCTAGATGTGCAATTTTAGTAAGACCTTATATTTTTTAAAGAATTTCCTAATTTAAGTTATATTGTAGAAACATTTTGTTTTTTTTTTTTTAAGAATTTCATATGACACAAATAGAGTAATTAATAAATTACCACTTTAATAACGACTTAAAAAATAAACTATTCTCTCAATATACATTTATAAATATTGTAGGATAATTAAAAATACTCCTTGTTACAGCTTTGGTATCCGGTACAGTACAGTATTACTAAAAAATTTAATACTACATAATGAATTTTACATAAATGGGTATTTTTTTTTTTTTAATTTATGTATATTATCGCTAATTTTATTTTAACCTATATTTCTCATTAACAAACGCATTGGGTTTTGCATGTTTTCTCTATAAACACAGCCGCCCACCACCTGTTAATCCGTATTATGTGCCGGTCGTATTTAAATGTGGCTCGGATTGGGTATCGTTTCATCACGAATAATGAAAACATGTTTTGATTGTCCGCGAAAACAGAGGTAATATTCGTTGATATTGTTTGATTGCTTGTGTTTATATTTTAGTACTGTGTAAATAATGTATCATAATTACATTACGTGCTTAACGTTGAACTCATGCCGTATGCGTTTGTTTTCACGCTTGACAGTAAATATTAGAGTTTAAAGCCTATTCTTGCTTCAAACGCGCTTAATTACATGCCGCAAGTTTTCTACTTTGTACTAATCAAATTATGTGAATTTTAGGTCCGTTAACCCTTTGAGTTCTGATGCTCCAGATATGACACAGTTTGGTTCAGTCAATGAATGGTTATGTTCTATAAAGATGGCCAGGTACTTGGATAACTTTGAGCAAGCTGGCATTGTTAACATCAAAGAAGTTGCCAGACTCACTGTTGCTGATCTTACTGCATTGGGTATAACACTAGTCGGTCACCAAAAGAAAATTATGAACAGTATACAAGCAATGCGAGCGCAATTTTCAGCTAACCTATCTGAAGGGTTTCTAGTTTAAGCGAAATGAACTTTTGACCACTTTTTTGGGTTCCTACTTAAAAAGAGTAATATCAAAGGCATCGGGACTTAATTTTTCAACGACCTAGACTGTACCTGTATAATATTATTATTTAAACTGTCTGGAACTTTCCTTTTTTTAATTTTTATGTTACTACTATTATGTTTGTTTTTTTTTTTTTGACGTAAATTTTTTTTCTCAATGACTTGAGTCTGCTGAGATGTTTGTATATTAAATATGCAAGTATTACCAGCATTACAGATAATTTTTATTATTTATCATGGCAAAAACGTTTTTTTTTTATGTTTATTTCGTTAACTTGATTGCAAAAAATAACTTACAAGTTTTGTATAGTTTAGTATTGACATAATTTTTAAATTGTTACCTTATACAGTAAATTGAAAAAAAAACATTTAACTTGTAATAATTTATGTAAAATTTTGTTTATTTTTGTGTATAATGTTAAAATTGTGTTATAACGAATGTAATGATAATGTTGTCTCATGTACAACCAGACTGTTTTTTTAGTTTTATAAATACTTGTATAATAATTAAAAACGTATTGTTGTAAATAAAAGAAAATGCACTTTGATGAGTGCAAAATAAATAAATTATGTATCAAAAATAAAAAGTTGATTAAAAAATTATTATAGCAAAGGACGTTAAAAAATGCAATAAGATAATATTATCTATATCAATAAATTATAATTATTATATTATGAATAGTTTTAATGGCAAATATATGTGGAAACATATCTGCCAAAAGTTAACTGTGATAAATTAAAAAAAATTTAAATTTTACCTATATTAACTTATAAAGTGTTTTGAAATATGTATAGTTATAATCTGTAAATATAATATTAATTTTTTCCGATTTCTGTTTTCTAAATATTTACTCAAAATAAAATTTCTATCTCTATTAAAATATTTAAAAAACTGGCATTCGTTTTAAGTCATCAAATATTTTAAAATAAATTATCTTTGATTAAATTGTACACATTGTAAAATGTATAAAAATTTTACACAATTATGCCTTGCTAAGTTTTAAACTTCATGATAGGTATGAAAATATTAATAATTAAAATTACGATTTATCGCAATTATAAAGTTCCGTCCAGTATTATTGTTTTATTGCTAAATTTCAAATTTCCATTGCTGTCAGTTTTATGAAACAACATTTAATTAATTATTACTCTATTCAATTTGTGATTCTAAATTGAGTGTTTTTTGCAACATAAGAAGGTATCTAAATGATACCATGTATACTATATACCCTATAAAAATATATTGAACAATTTACGTTTAAAATCTTTGAGGCTTCAAGGTTACAATGAATTATACATTTTATATGTCCACCTTATGATTGTAAAAATTTATCTATCATTGTGTAGTGAAAGAATCATACTGTTAATATCAATTAATGTGTATTCGATTCCCCTAATTATTTTGTTTTTGTACAGTATTTATCACGAAGTAGTTTTTTCTTTAATTAAATTCATTGTATAAAATGTATCAGTCCTATTTATAGAAATAAACCATTATATTACTATAAATGTATAATAACTGTTGTTGACATCGGCTTGTGTGTATTGATTAACGTGTCATTGTATAATTGTGTACAAGAATAAAATATTTTTTAAAAACGTGTTATGTTTTGATTGTAAGTAAATCATTTTACCAGTTTCAAAGGCAAAATGTTTTGAAATTATTAATTATCTTAGAAATAAAATAAAATATTCATATTGCTAAATAGTTATATTTCAAACATTTTATCAATAGTAAAATGGCAATAGTTGATATTTAACTAATCGTTTAATAAGAAGTTCCCCTTTTTACAATTTTAAATGTTGAATTAATTTTTAAGAAGTCCATTTTTAAGGACTCCTCCAACTGTAAAGTGATTCGTAATAAAGGAGTCAAGACCGGATTTGATTAAAATTTGTGAATTAAAGAAAAAGCAAACTTAGTCACAATGAATATCTGAAAGAAATTATTTAATAACATAACATTGCAGTTTTTTGAACCAAATAATTTTTATTTTCACAAAAATTAAAAATTCCAAAATTTGTTGAGAAAATTATTGTTTTACTAAAAATTGATTGTCCCATATAAAAATTTTTTATCTCTGAATTGTCAATATAAACTTATAATAAATAAATTGTTTTGTTGAAAACTACAAAATTATTACAAGTCTACAACATACAAAGACTGACTGAAACGCTCAGCATTGCTCATGTACGTACAACTGCAAAAGAAATCTGACAAGTTAATCAATTTTATTGGTTTTAGTATATAAAAAAAAAGAGATGCTGATAAATCAACATATAGCACGTAGCAAATATGTACATGTGCTAAATTAAATTAAAAACAGTTTAGAGTTTTAAATAATTATTAATTTTCTTTTCAAGATATCATTGAAAATGTTACGCATTTTTGTCCAATTCATTGTTGTAATAAATTAATTTGAGGTGAGGCCTAATTTTATTTTAATTAGTTTGTAAATACAATTGATTTGATTTGTGAAAATGACGCAATAAAAATTAAATATCAAATAAAAATCGCGCAAACTAAAACTGTTGTTCAGCGTTCGTTAAATTTGCGCTGCAGTCTACATGAAAACATCTTAAACCTTTATTATTTCAATGTTTTTTTCATTAATTTCTAAACTGATACATATTCTACACCGTGCAGTGGTGCCAACTACTTCACATTCTCCACAACACACTTAAATGAACACAGCGCCCGGTGGTATTCAAGCAGGTTCGTTAACGTTCGTTGTTTTATTTTGTCTTGAGTCATGCTATGACGAGGATAAGGAATAAGGTAAGTATGAATAAATGTAGAATGAATTTTACAATATATAATTATAACAATTAAATGTTTTATACAAGAATCATAAAATCGTATATACACCAATGTGGATAGGGGGGGAACACTTAATACTAATACCACAATGGCGGTTATATAAACAAATAATAAATTATAAATGTAAGTCTTAGAAAGAAGATGAACAATCATTATACTTATCGGCTAATTGAAACGGCTGATAATAATGTTGAATATTGAAAGGATAAATTGAAATCGAATTCAAGTAGCTGACCAACGTGTACAATGTGCTGTGAACGGTACTGTGATGTATCTCAGAAAATATATAGACCTTACGGCGATATACTGAGCGCACAAGGGTGCGACAATTGCAAAGGTGATATTTGACTTTTACAACAAAACGAATACAAAAACTACTGGCTCGCAAGCGCCATAGAGCCTATAGTTGAAAAGCGCCAAGATGGCGGCGACAGTGCAGACAGAGAGAAGACCGACAACAACTCGATGCAGCATAAATAATCACAACACAATTCTCGACAGCATGTTGATGTGTACCCAACAACCCTAATCCGGACTCTTATACATACGCGTTTTAGTGTAAAGTCCAACAAACGGCCGGCGTCCATTGCCTGCCGCAATAACACAGTTTTCTGTCCCTGTCGTCACCAATATACGAATCGCACACGCATTGATTTACTCGTGATTATTGTTGTTCGTAGTACTTGTATGCAAACATTAGATCTTTCATCTAACTGAATTATCATTATGTGGCGCGACCATTATGTATACGGCTACTTACAGTTCATATTGTGCGGTCTACCTGATCTGTGCCCCGCACACACATACACCTTATAAAAAATTATACGGTTCATCTTTGAACATTGAACTTTCCCAGCATATGTCTGTCGCTTGAACCGATCGGGAACCAATTTAATGCTAATATTGAATGCTTTTTGGTCCTCAATTTTTTTTTAAACCTCAATTATTTATTTTACATTAACTTTACAACTGTATTTTTTTTTCATTACTAACATTTATCAAAAAATATTACAAAATTTATAACATTTTATAAATCATACAATTTAGTTTATATACATTTTTTTATTAATTTTAATTGGTTTATTCTATAGCAACAACTAAAAAATTTATATTCTTGTTTAAATTTAAAATTAACTCTATTTAATTAACATAATAAATATTTGACAGAGTTAATAGCATACTTTCATCAAATTCGGGTGGAATTTTGTGGAAATTCATTTGATTTAATTTATTTTATACCACTTTGAATTTTAATGATTCAGTTTATATAGCAGATAGTACTAATAATATAACTTTTCAAGTATTAATTGATATGTTGTTTGACATGAATTAATTTCATTACACATACTAAAAATGAAAATATGTAATTTATAAAAGATTCTTTATAAAGAAAACCCTTGTGGTTTTAAAATAGATGTACAATCTACTTTCACTTTTGAAATTCAATTATTTTAATATTGAATAAAAACTTACTAAAGGTTTAAATAAATTAAGCTTATTCTATACGAAAACATTCTAAAACATAATGTTTACGAGTTGAATGCAAAAACATGACAAAGCAATTAAACAACATGAAATTCACTTTTTGTAAAAAAAACAATATTTTTTAAGATTTATTAAAAATTAAAATTATTTTTTATTTTAATAATATTGCTATTCGTTAACTTTCTAAAGCAAAACTTAGTGTAAAAAAGACTGTATAAGTAAAATATTTGAAAAATTCCCTTAAATTAATTAGAATTCATATTACTATGAAAAAAAATAAACAAATATTTTTTGTTAGGTGTTTATTATACTAAAATTAGATTTAATGAATTTAATATTTTCTAATTTGAAAAGCTTGTTTTATTCAAAGTTTAGATTAGTACTGCTTAATTTAAAGCCTCGATCAAACTGCATGTTTGTTGTAAAATAAATAATTAATAAATCAAACAATTTTTTTTTACTTAGTTGTTATTTTAGAACACTTTTTTGGCTCCTTAAAAAAATGATGTTGGCCAAAAAGAANTGGCTCCTTAAAAAAGTGATGTTGGCCAAAAAGAATACTTTTTTATTTTTTTGCTGGCCACTATATGACAAAATTTTTCATATAAAAGGAGTGGAACGCTTTCAAAATGTAACCTTTTTTAAATTAAATATAAACGTGACAATTTTTCGTTATTCTAATTTCATACTAAGTGCTTAAATTTTTTTAAATTAAATACGTCAAGAACATCGCTTGTTACATTATGCAGTCAAAGGATATGTGGAAATTTTACCATCTCGTATTTTGGTGTGGAATTTATTTCATTACAGAAAATTACTGCATCAGGACAATGGCAATGTATTGTGCTGTTGTCATAACACTGTTAAAACTTATTGATTACTGTACACTTTTTGAGAAAACGGACACAAAAGTCATACAAATTAATGAACTGAACGCTGAAGATGATAAACTACCATCGCCACGTTCTCCACATTCAACTGTCCCTGCAACAAATATTCCCTGTGCATTTTCTTCGTCAAAGAAATACGGGCATTTTTTCCAGCCATTAATAAGTGCTGAATGCTCGTACAACTTAAAATTGGGCGAAAAACATTCGTTTGAATGCAAAATCGTTAGCTCTCAAAACTACAATAAAAAATCAAAAGTACGTTTTCAAATGAATAGTAAAAATAATGTATTTGTAGTAGACGAAGAATTATGGATTTCAAGTCCAAAAATGACCAACGCCATAAAAGGAATTGTTACGAACTTTGACCAGTTCATGAGCGTTGTTGATGTAGAAGTAAATTTTTCAATCGACTTGCCTATTGGGACACCGGCAACTTTAAAAAAGTCATTTGATAAAACCCCTTACACTCGGATGGAAGCGGCACTTGCTACTTTTTCTTACAAGTACGAATCTGTTTCACCTGAAGTAAGATCAATGTTGCTCGGACGTCAACAACAACATTCACCCGAACGTGACGAAAATCTGACAGATAACAGCCTATTAGCTCCCAACTTACCTGGTTTGAATGAGTCACAGCTGTCTGCTGTGAGCCATGCCCTACGCACGCCAGTTTCTCTAATCCAAGGACCTCCCGGTACTGGAAAAACGGTTACTTGTGCCAATATTGTATACAATCTGTCCAAGTCCGGAACCGTATTAGTTTGCGCACCGTCGAACAACGCTGTTGATAACTTGGCAAATGCCGTGGCTAAAACGGGCATCGATGTCGTGAGACTTGTGAAAAAAACGAAAGAGACGGTTAAAAGTGATCTTTCAAGTATATATCTTAGTGAACAGATAAAAAAGCTTGCGGGTCATTCAGAATTTAAAACTCTTCAAGGGCAGATTGATCAAGGTGTCGAGTTGAGCCCAAATGAGAGAAGGGACTACAATTATCTGAGAAGAATGGCGGAAATCGACTGTCTAGCGAATTGTCGAGTGGTGTGCACAACTTGCTCCGGCGCCGGCGACAACCGTTTAGAAAAAATCAATTTTTCTTCGGTGGTCGTGGATGAATGCGCTCAAGGCTTAGAACCGGAATGCATCATTCCAATCACCCACGGAGCCAAAAAAGTGGTGTTAATAGGTGACCACTGTCAGTTGGGGCCGGTTGTTACGTGTCCGGACACTAGAAACGGAGGTCTGCATCGTTCTCTGTTCGAGAGATTGGTAGCTGCTGGCCTACAACCATTTCGTTTAACTGTACAGTACAGAATGCACCCCGAGATCAGCGAGTACGCTTCACAAACTATGTACGAGAGTACGATTAGGAACGGCGTAACTTGTAGCGACCGAACTGGGTCGATTGATTTCACGTGGCCTAACCCAAATGTGCCGATGGTATTTTACTCTTCCGATGCCAACGAACGAAAATCGCGATCGGGCACGTCTTTCTTGAACTATGGAGAGGCGAAAGTTGTTGAACAACTAGTAGCCAAACTCCTTAGCAAAGGAGCTACTCCAAATCAAATTGGTGTTATAACTCCATATGAAGGACAGCGATCANCCTTGGCAAAGGAGCTACTCCAAATCAAATTGGTGTTATAACTCCATATGAAGGACAGCGATCACTTTTGAAACAAATTCTGAACAAGAACAAAGGGGTGGAAGTCAGTAGTGTGGACGCTTTTCAAGGCCGTGAAAAGGAGTATATTATTATATCGTGTGTCCGCTCGAACGAGAGAAACGTCGTTGGTTTCCTGAACTGTGTCCGTCGGCTAAATGTGGCACTTACGCGTGCAAAGTTTGGCCTTTTTTTAGTTGGTAACGCTAACTTTTTGGTTAAAAACCCTACGTGGAAAAATTTACTTCGGTATTATGACGACAGAAATTTGATTGTGGAAGGGACAGTTGATGATATGCGTACAGCACATATTAAGTTTGATTAATTATATATATCATAGCATTTACTTATGAGTAATTTTATTTTATTAATTTTTCTTTAATTGTTTGATACACTAAATTTAAAAAAAAAATTATAATTAATTAGTTATTTTTGATACATCAATTATTTATTATACATACTGTTCTATTTTTAAAATTAAAAACATTTTATTTAAAAAAATCGAATTTTTTTATTCACCTCTACTTTAAAGTAATTGATTAATTTGATAATTCATTAAGTATCATATAACTTAGAGGGAGATGTTGTCTAATTGGTATGCGGCACTATCTTAGTAGTAGTTTTAGGTTTGAGACTTGGTTACGAGTAGCTCCATTTGCTAAGCAAGACAAGTATTACACCACATATTCTAAATTATCCTTGGTTAAGTAACCTACTCTTCATGTGACTTATTCAGCAATAATATTGTGAAAAAAATGGTTTAATTAGAAAAACTTTATAAGAATCAAATTAAAATGTACTTCATATTAATCAATATCAATTTAATAAAATTGGAATCTTAAATAAACATATGCACTGTTTAAAAATTTATTGTTTTATTTTAATTTTACACTGAGTTAAATGATATCCATTCAATGAATAATTAAAATAAAATTCTAAGTGTTATTATTATTATTTTATTATTGGGATTAATTAATGGATATAGTTGGCACATTACTTTGAGAATTTATTTTAGATATATAAAATTAACATTCAACTTTAAATATTACACCAACTATAACATAATTTAATATAAGTAAAGAGAAATTAGAAAAAGTTTAAATAGGTATAATACCCAAAAAAATATTTTTAATTGTTTTAGGCAAAACTATTAGTTTAAAAATATTTAAAATCTTAAAATTTAGTTTAGTTTAAATGTTTTTATATCATTGTTATAACATATGGAAGAGACTTAGAATAAATAACAAGTTATTTTTATAAAATAAAAATTATACTAATTTTTTTTTTTCATTTAATACAAAAAAATTTTAATATTCTAATACTTAATTAATTTCAACTATGGAAGTATAATTAAATTTGATTTACATATTACAAAATTCTACTTAACATTAAATTATAATGGAAAAGTGGGATTATTGTTAAAATGATTTTTGTTAAAATAGGATTGATTTGAAAATAGCTGTTTTAGACTAATGAAAAGTCATAGGACCGAGTGGTTAGATATTAATATTTATATAGAACTTGTTCAGTCTTAAAAAAATAAATAAATAGAGTTAGTATAACAGTTTTTATAATTCTTCTTTAGAAGGACCATCTAATTCAACATCTGATAAATCAATATCTTCTACTTGGGGTAATTCACCATCTTTTCCATCCCAAGGTTCAGTTGTATTAATTTTNATTCACCATCTTTTCCGTCCCAAGGTTCAATTGTATTAATTTTAGGCAATTCAGCACCTCTGACTGGAGCTGTTCGTCCACGTCCATATGATAAATCCCTAGTTTTTTTTTTAAACAAATTATCAAAACTGAATAATTTTTAATAAAAAAAATATATAAACCTCAAAAATTCATTAATGCTATCTTTTGAAAAAGATCCCCTTAAAATAGTGTACTTCATTTTTTTAACATTTAAAACTGCTAATGCAGGATAACCAAATCCACCAATTTCTAATGATGATTCCAATTCAGACTGATTTCCTGCTTCAGACCATAACCATCTGAAAAAATAAGAACTTGTAATCACAAAAGAATAAGGACAGTAAATGTTTTTAAGTAAAATTAAAAAGTAATAATTTTCTAATATAATTAAGTGATGTAGTTTACCCCCAAAGCTTTTGTTTAAATTTATCTCCCAATGAGCGCAACATTTTGATGTATTCATTACAACTGGACTGACAATCTAAGATATGAGGCAATACAGTAATTACACATAAAGCATATTCTGAACATCCAGACTTGAAGGTATCTTCATTTATAACCTAGTACAATATGATTGATTAAAGGTAAATTATTTATTTCAATATAAAAATGTAGATTAAATTTCAGAAAGTACTATATAAAACAAAAATCTTATACAATTTTCAAGATTCAAAAAAAAAAAAAGTTCGGTAAAATAAGAAAAATTTGTTTTACTTTTTCTAAATATATAGATTTTACCTTCAATAAAAAATATGCTTAACCAATTCATTTAAAGTAAAATTTCTTTAATCTGGCAACAATTTTAAACTTAACAATACATCAAATAATTATATGTAAAATATAATTAAAATTTTTTAAATCTCAGATTTAAAAAAAAAAAATCAAAGAAAGAAAATTATCTTATTTTCTCATTGATTGTATGAAAAATAATTGTCTTACTAAAAAAAATGTTTGTTCTCATAACATCGATTATATTAAAAAACAGTCATATTTATTTATTCTGTTTTATATAAAGAGAAATAGATGAAATTATTTTCATCAAATTTCATTATTCTGAATCAATTAATTTTTTTTGTAAAAAAAAAAAACATAAAGGTACCTGCATAAAAACATAAACTATACAAAATTTAGTACCTCAAAAACTTCAGGAGGTGGTACATTTTCTTGATGTTTCTGCAATGCCCAGCTAATAATATCATTGGATGTTCGACCACCTGTATATTCTTCAGCTCCACTAGAACTAGATGTGCCTGATGGGAAGAATTTTATTGTTGGATAACCTCTAATTTGATACTCTTGAGCTTTTGATGAATGTACAGTAGCATCTAATGTACCCAGTTTAACCTTAAGAATAGTAATAATTTATTATTTTAATTTTCATATAATTTATAATANAAAAAAATATATACATAAAACAGATAAATTTGAAAAAATTTATCAAAAAAATGTTGGAATTTAATTTAAATATTATATTATTTTATATGCCAAATATTTTTCAAACTCTTAAAAAACTGTACTAAAAAAGTTTTATAAAAAAATTAAATTGCAATTTTTTTCAATTTTGTTAGCTTTAAATCAATTTTTTTAAAAATTCAATTATTTGTCATGTAAAAAATACAATAAAATTTTTATTTTTTCTCAAAGTTATCTACTTATTGGTAGCAATTTCATAATTATAAGAATAAACCCAAAAATAGTTCAGTAGAAAGTTAAGAATTTTTTTCTGAAAAATGATTATCAACTAAAGTTTAGAGGTCAATAAAAAAATTTAACTTGACGGATAAACCTTACATTTTGTACAAATCCTTTTTAACAAACTATAGTAGGAGAGTTAAAGAAAAAAAATCATTTTTCATTTTTTAATAATAATTTAATTCTTAATTACTAATTAATAATTATCTCAAAAACATTGAGTGATCTTTATAAAAACTTGAGCCAAATTCAGAATTAGCATCAAAATTCAATATAAAATTTATCAAAATATTAAATTACATAACTCACAACACAAAACTATACTCTAATTAGTTATATAACAATGTTAACCAATATTATTTTATATAATCTTACCTTTCCTCTTAAATTTGAAGCAGCAGCAGCCCAATGAGGGGCCAAATTTTTACAATGACCACACCATGGCGCAAAAAATTCAACTAACCAAATATCATCAGAGTTCAAGACAAGTCGATCAAAGTTAGCATCAGTTAACTCTACAACATCATCACCAGAAGATGACTTCTTAGATGATTTTGCTGATCCATAAGGTACTCCTTGTATTTGAGCTTGTACTTTATTCTTAATTACTCTATATACTTCTTCAATTATTCCATCAGCTGTACGAGAACCTGAGTAGTCAGTAGGTTTGTTTTTATCAACAAAAATTTTAATAGTTGGAAAACCTTGTACACCATAACGTCCCGTAAAGGAATTATATTTATCAGCATCAATAGCACCAACTTTAACAATACCCTTAAGAAAAAAATATCTTTTATAAAACAATTTAACTTAATTCAAAATTTATAAAAATAGAAGAAAAGTGAATATACCTTTAAACCTTTTGCAGCTTTAGCATATTCAGGTACTAATTTTTGACAATGCCCACACCATGGTGCAAAAAACTCTACTATCCAAATATCATCCGACTGCAATACTTTTTTGTTGAAATTATCATCTGTGAGCTCTATTACATCCGAGTTTGCTGGAAAAAGTGCTTGCACTGAAGATCCAGCAATGGCTGCTAATAATACACCTGTGACATAAAATAATCAATATATTGCCATCTGTTTAATAAATTACAGTTTAACTTATTGAATTTAAAAATAAATTTAAATCACTAATAAAAAAACATAATTATCATTGAAATTTACTTACAGACTAATAAATACATGATTTTTCGACGAAATTAATTGAAAATGAACGAGAAACTATCCAATGTAAAAAAACTTAAACGTATAGTGTCTGATAACTACAATATATATTGTGGCCCAGTGAAAAGTTATGATACCCTCATAAAAGAGGCTTTTGGTAAAAAAATATTAATAACAGGAATTTGAACACGTTGTATAATATTCTTAATTATTATTTAGAAGTGACGCCGGGACGGAAAAACACATATATGGTTTATATAGTGTTATCAACTTTACATTATCTTGTACATTGGCTCGTGGTGAGCTGCTATTGGTCCGCTAGCACCGGCAGTTTTCGTCTTCTTAGTTATCGGTTATTCACCATAGCAGAATTGCGTGAGCGGTAGATTCTGTGTTCAATATGGCCATGACTTCTTTGGTGTGTCATATAGCAGTTATACAGACAAAATACGAATAACAAATAATAAGATGCGTATCTTATGTCTGCGAGTGATCTTTTAACGTATCGAAAATTTTGATTACGTCCCAATTTATTAAAAATTCGCGATAAGGTTAAAACCCTTTTGCATTAGGAAGGTTATTTCTATTTTAAATTAACGAATCCTATGCAAATCTAAATAAATCAAATTTTGTTTATTTTATATGGATATCTATCAATAGGATTATTGATTAATTTTTAATTAAAATGAATAATATTTTGTTAGTCCCATTTTACAGGTATCGCCATTTTTACCAAGGTTATTAAAATACTTATTTAAAACATAATTTATCGTTTAAAATATCCTATAAGATCAATACAAATCTCGAGTATTTCAAACATGTTTAAAACATAACATCATTATTATTTCATAATAGAGCAATTTAAAATGGTCTAATAAAATGAAATTTCTAATCTTGAATGACAGGTACATTTTCTTTATTCAGGTCCTCAGTTATTTAGTCTATTTCTATGAAATATATATTGTTTTTTGAGCATAAGAGCTCAATTTTTTTTTCATGGTTTAATAGTTATAAAATAGTAAATCATTGTGTTCTGCTCCACCAAAACTCTAGATACGCCAAAAAGACTTATGGCAAAATAAAATTTTTGTAATGCATAAAGTGTATACATTTATGCCAACTATAGTTGACATGAAAGCTAAAGGGATTTTAGCTATCGTAAATACATTAAAGACTCCCACAAAAACTTTTTTGGTAGGGAGTATGACAATGTGTCAGAGAAGCTTCCCACCTAATATATTATCTAAGCTCAATAATGAATCTTGAGAAGGGGTTATTATCCCTATCATTTTGGGAACCGAAATATTTAACTACAAATGAAATAATGAACAATAAGGGTTTTATATGGTCCACATACAAAATTTTAAAAATACGCATATAGGGTAGGGGCTAATATTTTTTAGTCCGGGGTGTAAAAGAGTATTTTTTAATTTGATTACCATTTTTTACTAAAAAGAAATAAGATTTCTAAAATAAACAATTTTTATTAAATACGGTTACCACAAAATAAAAATTAGACGTTTTTCTGTTCTTTGTTTTTCAGATATATCTTTTTGTGTAACTAAACGAATGAAGTTTTAGACTTAAAAAATTTTAAAATATGAATTTATGATTAATTATTAACGTAAGAGTGTTTAAGTACTTTCGTTTCATGTCGTATGTATGAAGACTGAATATAACCGTATAATATTGATAATTTTTTATTCTTACGTTCTTGTACAACTATGATACTTTATTTAGGTAAGAAACGTAACAAATTTTCAACATGATCGTTCACGCATGATTTTTACGATAAACCGGTAAATAAATAAACACATATTCAATGTAAAATTCATATACTCAACAAAATATGAAACAATTGTACAAAAAAAAAATATGCAAAACTATAACTATTTTCTATAACAATGTACATGATATAGTAATTACATTTTATTACAATGTTGCAAATTAATAGTGTGCGTTATATTCTATGTCTTATGATACATAAGTAGTATAACATTAATTACATGTAAAAAATAACAATATAAATATTTGCGTTACAAAATATGTTCGAAGAAGAATAATTCCAAGTAAGTTAAATATTAAGGGACTAGATTGATGTCTCAGCTTTCCCTTCTTAAATGCAGTGGCGGTTTACCCATCATAAATCATTTGTTAATAACAAATAGCATATGAAATTAAAACTCATTTTCTGAAATATATAATAAATCAAATAAATCTATAGAGCGAAAAGAAATTTTGTTTGAGTTATGAGTATCTTATATATAGGCTTTATTTGAAATTAAAAATTTTTAAGTAGGGAGTAGCAATGCTTAAATGTACCTATATAAGAACTATAGACTTTAAGTAACTGTATCCTCTTGCAAATAAGGTATGCAGGGGAAAGTTTTTGACCAATTAATAATATTAAAAGTAATATTTAATTTTGGTAAAAAATAGAGAATATTTTTATAATAAAAATCCGTTCTTCTGAATACTTTTAAATATAATTTGTTTTAACATTTAGTAATCAAATATATGTTACAAAAAAACTTATGCAGTATTTTAAATATTTAAATTATTTTCCATGCAGTGCAATTACGTGGAAATGTTGATCTAAGACTTGGAAATTATAAAATTTCAGGCTGAATTAAAAAATAAATTAAGTTATACATAATGATATTATTATGATAATAAATAAATGATAATAATTGTGTACCTGCTTAGTAATGTTCATAGTGATCGGGATGGTTGGCATGTCCAGATTTATGAACAACGGCGTTGAAGCCATTTTCTTTGTCAGCTACATATTCTACAGTTCTTAGGGTGCCATCAGGGTCGTGCACGCTGTAAGAACCTTTGACAACATCTCCATCTCTGTACTCGTGAGCAGTTTTATAATCACCGGTGTGTGGGTCTTGAACTCCGTATTTGAAAGAGTACTTAGGATGAGCCTGCAATTAAAAAACAACTATAGTGGTGAACAAAAACATCGAAGACAAAAAAAATTTAAACTATTCATTATTTCAACAAATTATTACGAACGTGGTAATCGACATGTTCATCTTCATCATTATGTCCATATCCTTGTGGATTACATTGAACAGCTTGGAAGACGACGTACAAAATGACACAAGAACTGATGATTACCTATGGAAGACATTTTATTCAATATTATAACTTAAATTATTGAAATAGAAGAAAATCTTAATACCTTTGACATCATATTGATTACAACCGTAGAAAAATAACTGTTATCAATAGAAAAACTACACTTAGTATTTTGTAAAATACTTAGTTGTTCGATTCGGTGACGATTGTCAAGTGGCTATGTTGGCCGTGGTCAATGATTTATATATGGTCCTATACAAAAAACTAGAGGTTCTCCACTTCTTTTTCATACTCACAAAACCGTATAAATCGGGTGTTGCAAACACAAATATTACGCAACGACGGCAACAGGAACTAGGTACACAATATAAACTCATTTATATAAACAAATTTTTACACTTACATTTAATTTAGCACAAAAGTTTAATGTATAAATATTTATTGTATTATTAATTAAAATGTTAAAACATGGAGGCTGTTCAATCAACTCCTTTCAACATAAAACATTAACTAGAAGAAAACGGCTTTATATGGAATACCACCACATCTTATAAGAAATGGAATAACAATTAAATTTTATAATAAATATGTTCTTTATTTTCTAATTATTTTCGACTAAAAATTTGTTGCTAACTACCATAAATGGATATAACTAGAAAATGAAGTTTAAGGAAGCTGAAGCTCAGCATTTTTTGAGACCTATTTATTTGAATGTGTTTTAGTTTTCATGGATTGGTGTATTATTTAGAATATTTAAATATATAACTATATCTTCAGTTTTATGTTGATGTTTTTAACGCGTTGTATAGTTCAATTTCGGAGCGATAGACAAATCTGAAAATGAATTCTACAACGAGTTCCAAACGTCATCATAAAACTAAAGACATGTACACATATCTGAATATTCTAAATAACCTTTTTCCATTAGGCAATTCTGTATAGATAATAAAATAAAGAAACCAAGTTATAAAAATAGCTAGTTTTTAACAGTCTAATTAGTGTCTTAGTTCCGTTTTACAAAATATGTGTTTTTAAGATATTTATACAAGTTTTTATTTTTAAATACTCTGAATAAATTATTTTTTAATCACAAGGTGAAATTACTATTAACATATAGTAAGCAACCATTCACAATATTTACCGACAAGTACAAACCATTACACCTAATTTAATGCTACACCTTTTAATCCCCCTTAGTTACACTTGTGCTACCAATGTAACAGCATTTTTTTTTTTTTAATGTTGTATTTTTCAGACGACAATTGTGAATGATTTTTGCATCCTCAAGATATGTTTTATTAATCATATTCATTTTTCGTTATTAAATAAATATTTAAAATAGTGAAAATGATTTCGCTACGCTCGGACATAATTATTTTTATTTAGGAGACAACTAAGTCAATTTTACCAATTTTTAATATTTACAGATTTTATAACATTTAATTTGACTTCTGAGAAAACTGCAAGGAAGTTAGTTACACCTCTTGCCTTCCTTTAAGTTACACATCTGGCTTAGAATTTATTTAAGAAAAATGAAATGAATTAATAGAGGTTTTTTAAAATTTACTTATTTTATATTATTATATAACGTAATATATTTAAGGTGCTAATATAACTGAGCATCCCTAATCTAGAGTCAAGCCCAAATTGAAGGTTTAATATTTATCAGGTTTCAATTATTTAATAATAATAAAATTATTTATTATTATTTTCAGATTAGATATAATGAACAATATAAATCATATTTTAATATAATATAAAATAAAGAAATTTAACAACAAAATATCTTGCGTGAAAATTGTTCACTTTAATTTTCTTCTTTACAAAAATTTAATGTGCTATTTTTTTAACACCTTTAATAATAGACTATTAAACTCGTGACAATGGTGAACCAATATTGATTTCAACAAACGTTTATTCTGTGACATACAATCATTGAACCAAGACTCAATATTTAATAGTGTTTTAAAATGTTCTTTTTAATTAATTTAATATTGTTCCGTTCTTAAAAAATACCATAAAAATTCGATTATAGATATTAAACTGGGCCGAAAAAACTGGATGTGTATGGTGTGAAAGGTATACGAATCCCCTACATTGGGAAGAAGCCCACAATTTTTAAAATTATAGTGGTGGGTGTGTGGGAGTACTATCCGCCACGGGCCCTCATCTTAGTATTCATTATCATTTTGAAAGTTTATATATTCTATGATAAACAATTTGATGATAGCAAAATTTGTCAAGACTATCAATAACAGTTGGATTAAGATATATTAAGTCCAGAAACGTTGTTTCTTATAGTAAAATTTTATTAAAAACACGAGTCAAACGGTTTCTGGAGTTAAAATGATTTTTAATCTTATTAAGACTTATAAATTAGGTATAAAATGAAAAGATAATTTTTAAATTAATTAATTCAAATTTTTTTTTCCCTAAAAAAATGTATGCAAATTTACAAGACTTTTAATTAGATTTAAAATAGCTATAACTTTTTTTTTAATATCACTTAAAACGTTGTATATTTGAGAATACATTAAACGTCAAATTTTACATAGAACTTTAACACATTTTTTTCTTTTTTTTTCATCGTTATAAGCGTATTGAGACAATAACAGATCTAGTGAATGTAGAAATCGCGAGTTTTCTCCTTAAGCCAGGGTTGTTAAAAACATGTTTAAAAAAATTAAATCTGTTTAAAACGTAAATAAACAATTTAAAATCTTCCATAAGACCAATATAAACGTTGAAATTTTTGGTGTTTTAAACACATTTAAAACACTGTTTAAAAAAGTAGTATTTAAAACGTAACAACCCTACATTAAACCATGATCGTTTACTTAAAAAAAAATTTTTTGAATGATAAAATTAATTTCGATATTGAAAAGATTTTGATAAAAATGCTGGTCTTGCTTAGTTCTTGTTAAAAATTGAGATATATAAAAATCTTCATTCTCAAAAATATCAGTTTTTTTACTTCAAATTTTGTTCATACTGTAAAAAAGAAACATCATGTATTGAATTTCTCTTGTGGAAAAATGTTTAAGGAATTTAACTTGTCATAAAATTTGAATCATTCAGTTGATAACACAAATCGAAGCTAGGAAAACTCATAATATATATTGTCTTAATTAGGGTTAAATATGTTAGTCCTTGACGTTTAAATTGAGATTATGTAATTGAGAATTATCATAAAAACTTATATTGTAATATTTATCTTGTTGAATTTTATATCATTTTTGAAAAATGTAAACTTTTTAGTCAAACAGTAGTTTTTGAATAAAACATGTTACACATTGGTTAATCATTTTGATTCAACAAATGAACACATTACGTTTTCTTTGAACGTGAGTGCTAGTCCGAGTATAATTATTAGGACATCACGCGTAGTATCCTATGATAGACATAATGTGTTCGTTTATTTCCAAACTATGAACTAGTAAGAATTTAGCATGACAATTTTGGCACTTGATCTACGGGATAAAATGTTGAAACAAGATAAGAATAGTGGATTATTCGGGGCATGCCTTGACTAATTGAAAAACTATAGCGAACACTGTTGATAATGTGTATTTATATCTAGTTGTGTAAATCCTAGACACAATTAACTTGGCGTGGTTGAACACGGCCTTGAGTCTATTTAAAAATAAATAAATCTTTAAACAGTTTATACACAACATAAAGAGTACAAGTAATGTAATACACAATTAGATATCAAATATATAAAAAATATAAGTATATATATTTTGTTATGATCTTATCAATTAAATTTAATATTAAACCTAATCGCGAATAGTTTTTTCAATCAAGTCGAAAATTGAATCGTCAGGAGGCAATACAAACACTGCATGTGCTTCCGATTCGGCAGCTTGTAGTTGTAACTGTTGACTATACTGTTCTAATGTGGTAGCAGGATTTGGTTGGTGAAAATACTGCAAAGGCACTGACTGTTGTCCTCGGTGCTGTTGTTGTTGCTGCTGAAGCTGTGGTGTACTTAACACTTGATGTTGTGGTTGAATAAACTGAGGTGGATGTTGGTACACCGTATTAGGTAGATGCTGATATTGTACTTGTTGTGGCACTACTTGCTGTGTCACCAATCTAGATTGTTGCTGCTGTGGCGTTGGTGACGATATTTTGACTGACTGTTGGGATTGTTGTTGTGGAGACGAAGAACGTACAGACTGTAGCTGTAGTTGCTGTAAATGTGCTGGAGGTTGAATCCTAACCGGCTGTTGTTGATATTGTTGTTGGATGAACTGTTGTTGCTGTTGAGGTGTTAATCTAAGATGTTGCGGGGTTATTTGTGTGGGTTGATAATTATAATTAGTCGGGGGAGTCGGGCCGGACGATTGTTGTGGTTGTTGAAGTTGAATCTTTATAGGTCCTCTATCTGGAGTGATAGGTAGAGGTTGTTGACCAGGCAACAGTGGTAGAGGTGAATTGTCAGCTAAAGCTGGCAATGGTGGTACGTTTAGAACATAGTAGGAAGAAGGATTCATTGGACTGCCGGGAGTAGCAGTTGGATGTAAGTTATAGGGCAATACTGTCATGGGTAATCCTTGTCTTGGACTAGTTGTAGTGGTTGGTACTCGATACTCAGCGTATGAGGTTTGCAATTTGTCTTTGAGATGGTCGCCAACGAAAGGTTGATTGGTTTCTTGATAACCAGAAGAATCCTCCGGTCGGAAAGACGATGGGTCGATATTAGTTCGTTGTTGGTGGTACGCGTGCGCATTGTCAATGCGATTTTGACTATCTGGTGTAGATCTGTGGTATTTATCGAACAGTGGAGACTTTCCATAATGCTGTGGTTGTACGTCAGTACTTAAAATTTGCGAAGACACCCTCTGTACTGAATCTATACTGGATCCTTGTGCTACGTGCTGATCTTTATTATTTAAATTCAATCTGTCACCATTTTCGTATGTCCTAAAAAACATTTCTGTTAATGTTTCAATTCAAAAGTTAAGTTGAAGTGATTGTAATAAATCTAAATGAACTTCTTCAGATTACGTTGAATAATAATGTCAGTGGACACGACAGAGTCCATTCATTTCGTTTTAAACTATATAAGCGATATTGTATTTTTAATTTTAATTAGGGAGCTTCGAGATAAAAAAAAACCAGAGTAATAAAAAATCGATTCAGAAATTATTAAATTTGAAAAATGATTAATATTATTATTTCAAAATAGTTGGTTTTAGGGAATCAATCACAAAAATGAATTTTTCTTTTAATTTAATGATATTTAATCTATTCAAAATAGTTGTTATTTTACTATTTAGTTTTACACTTATTTCATTTTTCCAAAATGTCATCTTAACCCCTTCAACTTTGGGTTCCTCGATTGAATAGTTTCAACTTTCAACTTGTAAAGTTCAAGTATAATTAAAATTTAATCTTACTTTAGCTAAAAGTCTAAAACATATTATATGCAAAGAAATACAGTGTTATCATACGCAATAACATATGTTATATTTAAAAATAAGGTATGCATAGTTTAAATGGGAATATTAAATTGTTATTACTTTTTTTGGCTAATTTTCATACCCTAACATTATCAATTACGGTATAGTTTAAAGGTAAATTGTAAACTATCTCAAAGTTTCATTTTATAATGTTTAGAATAAACATTTTTTAACAATTATTTTCAATTGCAAACATTATAAAATCAAATAAACTAATTTATTTATTACTTTTTCTATTGCTTGTTAGTGTAAATTATAATATAGTTTCCAAATATTTCAAAAAGTTAGGAAATTTAAAAAGGTTTTGCTAATGTCTGATGTCTTCTATTACTGTATCGCATTTTTTAATCATTAATAATAGTAAAAGAATTATCACTGACACTATAATCATTATACAATACTTTTCGAAAATTGTCCTTATCAATTTTTATTTTGGTTACGAATCAATAAGTGGCTGTAACATAATAATAGCTATTGTTGTTATTTGAAAAATACTCATGTATTTTATTATGATTGCTAGTTACGCGGACGGTGACACACTATTATTATGATTAGTGAAATTGATGAAAATGGGAAGTGTTAAAAAATATACGTGGTTTACCACGAAAAAGAAAATTAATTTCATGTGTGATCGACCTGTAATATAACATAACCACAAAACAATTGTGATAAAAATATTATGAAGAATATATAAACATACATGAATACTAAAAAAAACAATGAATAAACTTCAGAAAAGAGCTAATTAAAATTAATATGTCCAGTGGACATTGTCCACTATTTAAATCATAGTAAATGCATAAATATAAAAAAAAAAATAAGTTACACCAAGTTTTCTAGAGCAAATAATTACATACATACTTAATACTATCTTTATCAGCGACATAGGAAACAACTCTTAAATTGCCATTAGGTTGCAGTTGACCAAAACTTCCGACAATACTTCCGTTTGGATGTCGCTCTTCCATACGATACTGAATATTATTAGACGGGGAATTGTCCATATCATAAGTGATAGGTTCATAGGTGTTTGTTGCCTTCAATTTAAAAATTATTTAACTTTAAATATTATCTCCCATCATGTTGGATTACAATATTTCAGATATTAAAATTATTGTTTTATCAAATCAAAAAGTATCGTTATGTTTAGCTTACATTTTATATAGCGTTAATTAAAATATTACTTTATGTTTTTTATTCAATGATGACTTCCAATTATTTTCTATTTGTTTTTTTTCTCGGTTCGTTACCACTCCAGCTAAGTACTGAGAACTTGATATTGAGTCAATTATCAGCAGTAAAGAAATCAGCATACCAACCTATAAAATGTTTATATAATCGTTAATAAAAGTTTTAAGAAGACTAATTTTAGAGTAACGCCAAAAAGTAACGTGACTGCTATTTTAATGCTAAAAGTTAATTATAAAGTACCTACTCAAAAAATACGCACTAAGTGTAATGTATAAAACTATGAATTAATGTAATCACTTTTTATTTTTTTTTTAAATATATTATTTTCTAAGTCATATAATAATTTTATTACTATTATGTACTTAGAAGTACAATAGAAATTTTAGATTTCACACGTTTTTCTCCAGCACAAACTATAATGCTGTAAGTGGTTAAATTTAAATCTACACATAATATCATTATAAAAGTGATAATAAATTTACTCGAATTATATAGACGGTACGTGAAATCTTCATGTTCAGCTGAGGCAATCTTGACGACTTCGGTCGCGATTGTAATATCTTAAAAATTGTTATGTTGTTATTCGGATGAGTTCTTATTGTTTTTTCTATAGTAGTACGCAGCACGACGTCCAATTCGAATTCGAACTATATCTATTTGTATAGCAAATTATAAATTGTTTTGTAATTGAAAAAAATTTACTCGATTATTAACCAGTTTCTGTTAAATAAAATTCAGAGATCAAAATGCGTCAAATCCCGTCAAAACTCGTTGGGTTATTACCTATGATTGATTATGTAGTGGGTGTATATGTGTAGATTAATACACTATTTTATGTTGATTATAGCCCGTGAAACTATCGCAGTATTTAAAGGAATTAATATACAAGATACGTTATAATACCTTGACCAATTTTGACTGTGACAAATTATCAATAATATCATATAATTCCTATATATAATGGTTAATGGAGAGGAATACTTTATAGTATTTATAAATGTCTAATAAATATAACAATTTATGTAATTATAATTATATCTTAAGTATATATGACGAGTAAAAGAGAAGTATTTGGTTTTATTCTACCGAATTTTTTTTTTTGTCACTTGACACGATTGCTTTGTTCCTACTGGATCGATTTTGCTCTACATTATGCTAAATGATCACAGAACTTATTTAGTTATTGTTTATAATTTTTAAAAAATCTTCTTAACCCCAGTAATAAAAAAAATTGTGCCAACATTTAACAGTTTTTATAAAGTAGTCAATGTTGATATTTTTAATTTTCGCTTTATATTAAAATAACTTTTTGATAACTGGATGGATTATTATGTTAAGTTTTTATTTATAATACTTCAAAGTTTGCCTTGCTGACGACATACAAAATTCAATCGTCGATAAAGTTAATGTGAGAGCTTAAAAATTGTATAAACTTTTTTTCTTTTCAATTTTGGATAATGTTCCAAAATATCTGACTTCTTTAGGCCTACATCAAATTAAATCTTATACAGTGTACTTCTAATAATAAAAGAATTATCCGAAAAATTGATTTCTAGGAGCTCTAGGATATTAAAGCTCAAAACCATACATATTTTGGTAAAAATGGCCGATTTTGAAGAATTGCATAGCAACACAACATCTACATCGTTCAAAACTAAATTAAATTATAACTTATTTAATACACGATAAAATAAAAGACTTTCTGATGACTTATTTTCTATGAATAATTGAAACGAATAATTATGTAATTTGTGGTAAGTATGTTGAATTTTTTTAAATTTATTTCAAATACGCATCAAAGCATTTTACGACAGTGATTTTATTTAGTAACAGTAATTAATCAATACTTATCTAAAAAATACCTCAACTGTCTAGATATTTTTGTACTTTTTCTATTAAAAACAGTAAATAATTTTAAAAAAATGTATTTAACAACTTTTTACAAATTTAATTTATACATTAAATCTAGTAATAATTTTAATAAAAGCTCTAAGAATTTTTTTAATCAGAAACAGATCTAAAAGAAGAATTAGTGTAACAAATGTTATAAAAACGCATATAACTTTTACTGAAATTTAATATGTACAAATTGTTCAAGCAACATTTTTCAATTTATGGAGACTGTGATCAGTCATTTTATTCCTACTCAAAATAATTTATTTTCTTAGAATTTCATTACATGACACGCATGAAATTTGAATCGTTATGGATTTTAAATATACAGTACTATTATTTGAAGTAATTACGTACTATTTACAATTCCGAAATAACATAAGATAATTGTGTAATAATGTGAAAAGAGTGGAGGGCCTCTCACCCTTGAACTATGTTAAGAAAAAGATTTTAACTGCATTTAGTCAAGGAAACTTATGTTCCACATATACTATAGTATGACATTTTTTCAAGTAATGTTTTCAAAATTTACTCTAAAAAGCGTATAACCAATTGCATAATAATTATTTATTTATTTAATAATAATTATCTACTTTATATAAACTAGTCATAATTATTATGGTTAGTTTAGTTTGAATATTTATTGTAAATTTTTCACTAAAATAACAAACAAATCTTCTTTGTAACAGATTCTCATAATAGATTATATAAAGGTATTATGAATGAAAGATCTAATGTCTATTCGACCGAATCTTCAGAATAAGAATCTAAAAGTATTGTAGATTATTTTTGCATAAGTAAACGATTAAAAAATAACAGAACTTGTTCGTCTGTGATACCGGTGTATGATTTTTCTAGATCAACCCATTTTAATTTAGCTAGTGGGAGGTTATAACCAAAAGAATAAACAAATAATCTATTTATTTATTACAACTAGAGTTTTTCATAACTAATCATTCCGTACCGATGGATGAATAGCTTAATCATAGTTAATTATGATCTCATTATTACAAGTAAGGAACTTTTAAAATGAATTTAACTTTTAAAATTATTTTCTATTAAAAATGTTAGATAGGAGCTGTCTGTTGGTTTTCAGTCCGATCTTACGCCACAAACGTCTTACCTGACTCGTATTCTTGGAGCACATTTACAGGACCCGTAACAGATGAAGTCCAACAGATCAATTCTTGGGACTCTTCGCATGCACAATCTAATCAAGAGCTAGATGAAAATGTTTATAACTCCAATGCACCAAACGATTTAATTGTAATATTTAATAGTATATATATTTATTTTATTTATGATTATTACTATAAAATTTTATCAATGTTGTTCAATAATATTTCCTGAGAAAAAAACGCATTAAAATTAGATATATTATTAATTATAATATTATTAAATGTTAGCTTTGTAAAACTTTCTTTGATGCGGACTCTATTAATATTAGTTTTTAGCTACTAAAAAATGGTTACGTTTAAAATCAGTTAAACAAGTTACACTTCTAACGTCTGTGTGTACTTAATGGTTATAAGAGTTTTATAAGTTTAATTCTTCATTTACTATTGACTCAACATTTTTGATTTTTTAAAACATCATAACCCTTAATGGTTTTGTTTCGTTATGTTTTAGGCAAAACCGTTTTATTCATTTTCATATGGCGTAAGTGACCCAAATACGGGAAATAAACAAAGTCATTCACAAACTCGTGATGGTTCTCTAGTTAAAGGGGAATATACAGTTTTGGAGCCCAATGGTGTTCTCCGACTTGTATCATACATTGCTGACGCCGAAAATGGTTTTCAAGCATCCGTTCGGTACATCCAACCGTCCACCGAGTCCGAATCTGATACAGATAATAACAAAAAATATAACTTTGAACCGCCATCACAAGTTTATTCGTTTTCGAACTCAGAACAACAAAACAATGTTGATTCATTTCCAGAAAGACCTCATATTTCACCATTAAGTATTAACATGCACGAAAATAGTATTGAAAATGATGAAGAAAACTATGGCACACCACACAAAAGTATCAAACCCTCACTAATGCCTTTCGAGAGTCACAAATTTCAATATCCAGAATTTAACAAAAACGAGTATTCAACCCATTCGTTTAATAAAATAAAATTCCCATTACAATCAGAAGAAATGTCTCCGTTTAAAAGTATACCGTCTACAGGTAAACATTTCTATCTAAATTCATTGTAATTGTTATTGATCATGAGCGACTAACATCATTTAAAAATTAAAAATATTTAAACCAAATAGGTGTCACTAGGGATACTTATAGCATATATTAATTAGTTAGTATTTCATGGTGAAAATTTTGATGCAAATATAGTTTTTAAAATACCTACACGCTATTTTTTGAATAAGCTTATTCATGTAGATTCTTAAGCAGGACTGTTTTTAATATTCTTAATTTATAAATAAATAAATTATATATAAATTTATATTAATTAAAAAATAATTTTAACAATAAAATTTTAGTGTTTACTTGTACAATATTAAATTTATTAATAACAGGCGTCTATTTAGACATTTTTTAAAAGGGGAAGCTGAAGAAAAATGTTCTAAAAAAAGTTAATAGAATTGTTAATCATTAGCTTTTACATTTAATCTATCCCTAAGACTATGAATTATATTAATAATAATTAATTTTTAGATCCTAATGATTACTCATTTTCGGAAGATTCATTAAACCCTTCGGATTACCCAAGTGCTTCCTTAATTGAAAATTCGGAGCCTTCTGGTTCTTCTTCGGGTTTACCTTGTATAGCTAACCAATTATCTATTATGTCCTCAACATCACAACCAGTGCCAACTTCAATATTGCCTAATGAAATAAAAACAGAACATCTATCAAACAGTACTACTCATGATAAAGACAATACTGAAGATACTAATAATGATTTTGTAGAAGAAGATGAAAATAATGAAGATTATTCTACAGATACTATGTATCTCAATAAAATTGAAGAAGCAACGACTAACGACTACAAACTGATACCTGACCCTCCACGGTCACCACACCCATCATTTTTTCAAAAATTGTCGTCAATACCTGTTCATATCATATATAAGCCAAAATTTGCTTATGTTACACATCGTAAAACATACATATCTAGGAATAAATTATGAATTAGAACTGATAACCTTTTTATTTTAAATTACGTTAGTTGCAAGTATCTATAAATATATATACTAATAGTGCTTTAACTTAATCTAGAAATATTTATATACTTAATTGCAATTTTTATTATTATTTTAAATTATTTTTGTAAAATAATTTGAATAGTGAAATATATCTTTAGATGATAATAGTTTATTTTTATTCAATTTATAAGTATAATAAGTAAGAACAAGTACTTATTGTAGTAATAAAATTTGATTTTAAATTAAATTGATTTTCAAAAAATTCATATTGAAATTTTTAAGGAGAAATTATACAAAATTATAAAGAAGTTGTATATTTCATTATTTCTATGGCAAACGTGTATAAAAATTGAAGGGCAAAATTAAACAGAAAATAATTTTTTATTGATTATGGATAAATACACTAGTCTACAATGAATTTTCATCAGAGACCAGAATATACTTTTCTAAACCCATAAGTTTTCGACCAGGCACAATTTGTGATTTTTTGACTTATCGTTGAATGGAATCGGTTCGGTGATAGCTGAGAAAAAGTGGTAACAGACACAAAATAAACACATCATAGTAAACTTGATACCTTCTCAGATTCGCATCGAAGCTAAAATTTTAGCGAAATATTTATTGGATTAGTTTTAAGAGTTGTCAATTAGATCTGTCCATTTCTATATTAGGCCAATCAACAAAGGAAAACTGGCGGAAAAAATTCCCTACCAAATTTTTTTTTTTTTTAAGTTGAATTATGATGCATTTAATGACTTACTAAAAGTCCTCATTGATTGGAATTGAGCTTTTTTATTTACAGCCTTTAAAAAGTTCAAAAATATGAGCTTTTTTAAATTTCTCAAGAAATATTTAACTTACAAAAAAAAGTTTCGTACAAAAGTTGTTTAAAAGACAACTTTAAACAAAAAAGATATCATTTACTTTTTCATTTAAACAAATATTTTTCGATTTACATTACATTTAATATGAGTATTAAAATTTATTTTCCATTTTACGGTTACTTTTTATCATGTTATACATTACATTCAGTGGCGTATTTTGGGGGGGTGTCCTCCATGTCTGAACACCCCCCGACTTAAAAAAATGCCTAAGATATTGGTATTAACTTTTTTTATAATATACTGTATTTATTTTACTATAAAATAAATGGTATTTTAAATAAATAACAAAAATGAAGTTAATTTGATAGGATTCGACGACACGTATTTATCTACATTTTATCAGAGATTTCTAGAAATTATTTGGATTTCATTGGGTCATTTAAATAACAAAAATACCCGTAGCAGAAATATAATAACAACGTTAATATTCTGAACTTGTAGTTCATTTTTAAATTTATTTTATAGTTTATCAGTTTAGAGAATTATAAACAAATAAGTTTAGTTACCCCTATTCAATATATCGCATTCATTAAAAATACAGAAAAGAATTTTTTATAATTAAAATAGTATTTAAAAAATAAACAAAAGTTATGAAATTCTTTATGAATCGTCATTTAGTAAAATTAAAATTAAGTTGTTAAGATAGTAGATACACTTGTTAACTTAAAAATTTATAATTGGCTGACTTTTTAAGTTAATTGTATCCATAACTGTATATTATAATATTTGTATATTCACATAACAAGAACATTAAATTACTTCGGTTAAGATAAATTTATATTAAATTTGAATTTCTTTAATGAAATAATGTTACATAGAAAAATAAGATTAATATAAGATAAAAAAACAATTAAACATAGAAAAAGTAAAAAAATGTTTGATAGTATACAAATAAAAATTTCAATTTATAGTAAATATTAAGAAAATTGATATAAAATACAAAAATAAAATTTCATTTATAAAAATATTAATAGAATAACTGTCCAGCAATAATTTCATTTTTGTGTCTTAATCTTATAAAAGGCATAAGATTTGCATTTATTGGTGTTGTATCTCCTCGAGACATTTTTTCTGCCAGCTCAACAGTAAAAGGCCCACAATCATGTCCATTGGTTTGCCGAGATGTCTCGCCTATTTGTAATGTCCATGTAGAAGCTTTTGCTTTTCTGTCCATCTCCCATTCAATTAAGAAATTTTTTAATACCATTGGATAAGGACCCTTATACGACTTAAGACTATCATAGGATGTCACAGTCTTTTCAGGCACATTAACCACTGTCAATATCCAATGACTCCCATATACATTCATCGGCACAAAAAGTAATTTTATTGTGTGAATATCTTTTTTTATCCATCTTCTTACAGCTGGATAGCCTCCTCGAAGATATGCTACAATAAAATCAGTGACAACTGCATAAACTTCACCTTTTGACCGCGTTACTATCAGTTTAATGTACTCATTAATTGTGTCTGAGGTATACCAAGATGTAGGCGACTTAAATGAAGGTGCATTATACTGATCAAGAGATTTTGTGTTCAGATCTTGCATTTCATCTGCAAGTGTAACCATATTTAAACATTTTTCATAAAATTAATAAAAAACTTTGTTGAACAGTTTACTATTATTTAGGTTTATTTAAGGTNTTGTTGAACAGTTTATTTAAGGTTTATTTAAGATTTTAGAATATGAAATTAAACACAAAACGTCCATGGACCCCTTTAATAACACGCCTCTGCAGATGTTATATTAATTTAACACGTATTATTATTAATCATGTTTAATAAATAAAATTTTTTTATTTTATTTTGTATAAAATAAATAGATTTAATAATTAATTACCTTTTTCTTTCTCTGGTACTTTTATTACTTCAACAGTGGACAGAGCAAGTAAATTTACGTCATTTGGCGTATTTAAGGTCAAAGGATTAGAACTAACTTTCGGCTCTAAAATAATTTATATTTTAAAATATTACATATCAAAACGTTTATTATATTATTTTTTAAAAATTAATTATATTTTAAAAGTTGAATACTTTTTATGACTTTTTCATCTTCTTCGGATGAATTTCTTTTTAAATTTTGTCGAGTATTAGTATTAGAAGATATCTCAAAGAGTTGCTTTTTTATTTCGGATTTTTTGAGTTCCAAGTTTTTCTTATGAAAACTCTTAACAGATCATAAAAATATATTTAATTATATGATAAATTTATTTAAAAAATCTTCTTTAAGTCCAAAAAATGGTTTAGGATTTACCCTGAAATCTTTTTATTGAAAAAAGCATAATAAAATATACCTTTCCTAACAAATCAGCTGGTATTAATAGCGGATTGTCTTTTGAAATCGCTATATTTTTTTTTTCTCTTAAATTTAAACTTTTATTTTTATATTTTCTAGATTTTTCATTTCTAATAAGTGTTCCGAATTCTCCTTGCTGTATCAATTTCTAGGCAACCAAAGAAATATTTAAATAAACAAATAAACTATATTTAATATAATATTATTATCTTCGATAAAAATTGAATTTCCATAAAAATCTTATTGAAAAAATAGCAGTCCTGAATAATATTAAACATTATGCTATCGCAATTATATTAAGGGGGTTGATAGTTTATTTTATATTTTTGAATCAGAAAACCCCCAATTATATAGCTCAATCGAATACTTTACAATTTTACAAAATTATAATTTATAGATTTGCTAATAAATATTAATATAATTATAGTTACCAATTTTTCTGAAATAATTTTATCTTTTTTATTCGTTTTTCGATACGTGCGTTTTTTTGGAATAATGGAATTTGTTATAGGATAAATATTTTTGTTAATAATTGCTGCAAATTGAATATCATTTTAATAATTATTAATTAAATAATCAATTTCGAAAAAGTTTTTAATATTAAAATAGTTTAATTAAAGTAAAGCGACTGAATTATTGTTATATATCAATAAAAGAACTTATTATTAATTTTTCTTATATTTTATATTAAAAAACTTTTTCTCTACTCGAAATTATTAGTTTAATTATTAATCTTAATAGTGTTTACAGATAATTCTTCCACCTTTAGTTGACATTTTTGATATTTGTCCTTTATTTGGATTATTTAAAACACAATTGGAATGCATGAAACGGCGATTCCATATTTCTTCAACTCTGCGTATGACCTTATGTAAGTTTGTTTCATTTGTTTGACCAAAAATATTTTTTTCACTTGCCATATCAATAACTAATTAAATAAATCTTTATACTTACACAAGACGATAGTTTGTTTTTCACGGGAAAAATCGAACTGAACTCAAATGTCGATAAAATCAACATTTACATTTAATTGTCAAGGAATCTTAATTGTAAAAATTCATTAAAAAATGTATAAGCCAATTATAAATAAATTTAGTATAAACAATACTTATTTATTTTTATTTTATTATTGGTCAAAGACTACAATATGTTAAGAATTTATTACAGAGAATTATCAAAATATATATATATATTAAAGATATTTTGAAAAAAAAACTTTTGTATTTGTTTGTTTATTTATTATATTAGTTTACAATTGATACAGATTTTGTTATGAAAGTTCAAGTGGAATAAATTTGATATCGGTTAACTTAATATTTATACATATAAAATTTAATCACGTTGAAATAAAATATCAACGTTTGGATTTATTCTCTTGCAACTATTAAAAATTTTGCCCGTGTAACATTGCTATTACCATTTAGTTATTAATAAAAAACATCATGCCATGCGATTATAATCAACATAAAAATTTATTAAGTTGAATATATAATATAGTTTAAAAATTTAATTAATGACATAATAATTCTGAAAAAAGAAAAGAACAGGAGATTTGAATTAAATTTAACAACTTTAACAAATTGAAAATAACTTTAGGGTTTAACTACTTAATAGGTTTAATTATTATTTGCATTTTAAATTTTATTATTATATATATATTTTTTTTTTTTTTTGACAATAACGGCTATCTGTGTAACTTCAATATCTAACAAGAAAATGACAAGTTATCCAAGGAAATTTTAGAGAAATATTAAGATACAGAGACCAAGGAGATGACCGTTTAAAATCATTTTTGGAAGCTGAAGAAACAATAAAATATACTAGTGAAATACTTCAAAGTGAAATAATTGAGTCCTGCAATAAAATTATTTTAAATAAAATTGTAACAAACATAAATGCCCAAAGATGTTTCACAATACTTGCAGATGAAACGGCCGACATTGGTGGAATCGAACAAGTAACTTTGTGTGAAAGATATTTAGATGTTGAAAATATGATTATCAAGGAAGAATTCTTCAGTTTGTGCCTACGACAGATACTACTGGAAAAGGTTTATCCGATATTATTATTCAACGTTTACATTCATTTAGTGTAGAAACAAAATACATAAGAGGACAGTGTTACGATGGAAGCACATCCCTATGTCTGGTCAATTTAACGGAGCTCAAGCTTTTATTCACCAAAGTCACCCGCTTGTGACGTATGTTCATTGTGCTTTTCATATTTTAAACCTTACTATTTCTTATTCATCTTCTATACGAGAAACACGAAATTGATTAGGAACAATATCTAAAGTTCTATATAATACTCATATTAAATGTAATGTAACTCGAAAAAATTTGGTTGGGAATTTTTTCCGCCATTCGCCAAAATTACTCCTTCGTTGACTGGCTTATATGTATAAATCCACATATTTTTCTTATATATATATATATAAATGATCCAGTAATTTTTTCAGGAGAGCAATTTCTCTACTTTTGAAAAAGTGAAAACTATTTTTTAATAGCTTATTGTAAAAGTGTCTTTTAAGTCGAAAACATTGTGTTTAAGAAGAGTAATAAATAAATAATGCATACTTATTTATTTTAAATAACGTAATTTATTACCGAATAATTAAAAGGAAATACTTTGAATCTATTATCAACAGTAAATACTATTTTTTTACTAAATCTATAAAAGTTAATGTGTAGAACTTCGTGATAACTAAACATTAATTATCAAAAAACTATATATAACATGACATTATTTTGTAGAATTCTATATTTTCAAAAGCTAAGTATTAAAAGACGTTTTATTTGGTTATAATTGTCTAAAGAGTTTTAAGTCATGAGGCTGACATGAGACCTCTAATACCAATCATATTCCGCACTTATTTAGTAATAAATTAATACTAACTATTAACAGCTACATACAAAATTGTTATTGTAATCAGTTATAATATGAATTTGGAAAACAGCTTAGTGATTTAGTATTATCACAATCATATTTTCATTCAGTTTGTGGTATCATTTGTGCCGTCAGTAACTTCATTTATGTTCTTATCACAACTCCATAATATTGTGAGTTGATAACAATTTCAAATTAAAATATAATACAATGTTTGTTTCTTATTAATTGCAGAAATAACGATATTTGAATTGTTTTTAGACTAAGACACTATTATTTTTTAATTTTATAATCTAATAGTTATTTTTATCTATATGTAGATTACATGTAAGATTAATCTTTTAAATGATTTTATGTTTAAATATTAATAAAAATAATTGTACATGTAATATTGAACAATTACTTAACTGTACACTATTTTTTGTTATTAAGAATATAATATTACTGAATATTTTTTTTGTTTTCAATAAATAAAAAATACTCTTCCGTATATTTGTTTAATAATTAAATGAAATGTGTGGTTGATTTTAGATTTTAAGAATGTCTTCAGTACGAATGCAACATTTTGTTACCAGGCTAAAATCCAAAAACTTTGAAGTTCGCAAACGAGCAGCACGTGATTTAAATTTATATGTGATTATTTAAGATTTTCTTATTTAATAATATGTTATTTGGGTTTTAATTTATTTTAATGGTTTATAGGTTAAAACTGAACTTAGGGAAGTTTCAGCTGAAGAAAGAGCAATTTTTAATGATGAATTTAATCATCATATATTTGAAATGGTGTCCAGCTCAGATAGTAATGAAAAAATTGGCGGTATTCTTGCAATTTGTAAGTGTGTTACACTAACTATTGGAATTATAGTTTTATTAAAATAATTATGTGAAAAATATATTTTTGTAGTTAAAAGTTAACAGGATTACTTTTTTTTATAATATAATGAATATATTTTAATTTTCAGTATGTTTAATTGGTGCTGATGTTGGTAATAAAAACAATCGTATTAGTAGATTTGCTAATTATTTACGAAATTTATTACCATCCACTGACTTGGGAGTGATGGAATTAGCAGCTAAAACAGTTGGTAAACTTGCTTTAGATTCAGGTACTTATGCAGATCAGTATGTTGAATTTGAAGTTAAAAGAGCATTTGAATGGTTGAGTGGTATTCGTAATGAACCTAAGAGATATGCTGCTGTAAGTTAATTCTTAATCTATCTAAAATGTTTTATAAGTGACATTTTTAATGTAATTGTTTATTTTAGGTATTAATCCTAAGAGAAATTGCTACTATGGTACCAACTTTATTTTTTCAACATGCTGCTCAATTTTTTGATCTTGTTTTAAATGTAGTAAGAGATCCTAAGCCCAATATTCGGGATGGAGCTGTTGAAGCATTGAGAGCAGCACTTGTAGTTACTGCTCAAAGAGAAACTTCAAAACAAACTCAAAAATCACAATGGTAGATAAAAATGTTATTTTTATTCAACAAAATTAAAAAATATAATAAATGATTGATTTAGGTATAAACAGTGTTATGAGGAAGTTATTAATGGATTAGATGATAACATCAATAAAGAAAAAGGCGTTACTCGTGATGATAAAATACATGGTTCTATATTGGTTTTAAATGAATTACTTAGAGTGAGCAATATTAATTGGGAAAGGCAATATGATTCATTAATGCAAAGATTACAATGGAATCAGAGCCAAACAAATGCAGTATGTTTAATTTATGATTTATTTTTAAAATATTGTATTATGAGTACAAGAAGACTATGTCTCAAAAAATGAGATTTTGAAATAAACAACATGAAGTTTATGACTTCCAATAGATGTAAATTGAGTATTACTTTGTTTTTTGATTTATATTAAGTTGAAGTCAAATTTTATACATGTAGCTACATATTAATATAATGAATAATTAATTATTCTAAAATATTAAGTCTTATGAGACTAAGTAACTCAACTATATATGTGTATATATATATATATATATATATACAATATGTCAAAATAATTTAATAAAAACATTTTTTTTAACTATAGGAAATTCTTAGCCTACTTCCTCGTACAAAATCAGCTCTTAAAGGTTTAGTTGGAGGCTCTGGTCGTACAGATGGAGATTCTGTACGAATAGCATCATCGGGTATAAGATATGAAAGTAGTGCATGTAAAAATTTATTACAAGATAATTATGATCGAGTTTGTTCTGGAGCTTTGTCTCATAGGTTGTCGAGAAGTCCATTAGTTCATTCAGCTTTAATGAAATTACTTCCAAGACTAGCAGCTTTTAATAAATCAATATTTGTTCAAAAGTACAATAATTTTTTATCTAAAACTTGATACATATAAAAAATTAAAATCAACATTAAAAAAAAAAAAATTTTAGTTACCTTAATTCATCAATGATGTATCTTTTATCAACAATTCGTGGCCGTGAGCGTGAACAAAGAACTAATGCTTTTGTTGCAGTTGGTTTAGTGGCCATTGCTGTTGAAGACCATACAAAACCTTATTTAGCTAGAATTTTAGATGTAATTCGAACGTCACTACCCTCAAAAGTAAGTACAAGTATTTTTTTTAATAAAATTTATTATAATAATAAATTTTCGACTCTATGTATAATATATTCCTGTATATGATTGTATATATTGCATATATAACTTTTTATTAAATAAACTAATCGTTTAAACTTATAACATTTATTTCTGTAGGATAGTTCCTCGAGAAAAAGACTTTCAAGTGCAGAACCTGCAGTATATGTTTGTATTACTTTATTGGGTATTGCTGCTCAAAATAACATTAAGAGTGATCTCAAAGAATTGTTAGAACCTATGTTAGCTATGGGATTAAGTCCCACATTAACTATAGCACTTAAAGAACTAGCAGTAGCTGTTCCTTCATTGAAAAAAGACATTTCAGAAGGTGTGTTTTTGCTGTTCACTTATGTATGACATGTATTAATATTATTTTTATTTTTCAAAGGTTTATTGAGAATGCTTTCTCAAGTGCTCAATCATAGGCATGTTCCTATAACTATACCAATATCTGCATCAAGTTCCACTTTGAGTTTGTCTATAGCATCTTCCGTATTGGAACCACAAAATATTGCAAGTGTTGTTTTAGCTCTTAGAACACTTGGAAATTTTAATTTTGAAGGTATATATTTGTATGTGTTAGTAAATAATTGATAAATGATAAAAATTTTTAGGTCATTCATTACTACAATTCTTAAGAAGATGTGCTGAGCATTATTTGGGTAGTGAACAACAAGAAGTTAGAGTTGAGGCTGTGAGAACTTGTAGTCGTTTGTTGAGATTAGCTATAGAGTCACCTCAAAGTAAATCATCTCATACTGTTAGATACACTATTACTACTGTTATAAAGCAAATTCTTGTTGTTGGAGTTTCTGATACAGGTAATATGATTTTTTATAATTAATATCAAAATTATGACAATTTATTAATAGCATAAAATATTCTAGAACTTGTTTTCATTAACTTGTAATTTTAACTTATAATTTTAAAGATCCTGATGTACGATATACAGTTTTTGAGAATCTGGATCGCAGTTTTGACTTTTATTTAGCTCAAGTGCACAATTTAACTGCATTGTTTATGGCTATGAATGATGTCAATTTTGAAATACGAGAAATGGCTTTATGCACTATAGGACGTCTTAGTTTAATAAATCCAGCTTATGTAATGCCACCTCTTCGTAAAACTTTGATGCAGGTAATAGTCTATTATTTATTATTTCTTTTATGTTAATGATTTTCAGGAAAGCCAAAACACAAATTTTTAAATATAAAACATTACATTGTTGTTTATTCTATAATAAAACTTCCCTTCCCCATTTTTCCCTATTAATTGCATATTATTGATGTTAAGTGAGATTGATTAATGTATAATTTATAATAGTGTATCAAAAAGTAAATTTTGTAAAATCTGTCACTTATGACAATATACCTAATCATTAATATATCAATTATTTTTATTTTTAGCTTCGATACAAAGCAGAGAAAGTATTAATTTTATCATGATATGTTTATTATTTAATTTTTTTGTTTCCGTCATTACTTTACCTCAGCTTTTCATTAGACTGATTTTTTTTTTTAATGATATGTCAAAAAGTCTTAAATTGTATTATTGACAACAATACCTTCAAAAATTAAAACAATTTTGCTGTCTTTACTTTTTGAAAAAAGAATGAATCATAATAACATTTTGTTTTTATAAATACTACAGGTATTTCCTTTTTTAAATATATATTTTCAGATAAAATCAAACCCTTAACCTGTCATAGAGATTTGAAATTGCTATTTAGACATGAAAAGTTAATCTTTTCAATTTAATTTTTGAAAATATTCCAGTAGTACTCCGAACTTCAAACATATGTTTAATTAAAGTTTATGATATGTACTACAAGTTATAAAAAATAATTTTTCCCAAAACCCTATCTTCTATTTTTAAAAAGTTTAAAAAAAAATGTTATTTTGGTGTATAAATTCACCATTTTTCATATTGTTATAATTTTTTATTTCAATAATTTATTGTTATTTATTAGGTTAAGCGGTATAGTCATATAGATGGTTGTGGTTTTTTAATGTCAATCTAATAAGTATATTGAAAAGAAGTTGTTGAATGTTTTAACTACCAATGGTAGTCTATGATAAGTGAAAATTTCAATTACATAACTGAAATAATAATTAATTAATGAAGGTCAGAGTTATCAAGTTAAAAACTTTAATTTCCTTTTCTTTTTTTGATAAATTCATATTGACAATTGTATTACACATTTGTCTAGAGCCAACAAAATATACAATAATATATATCTTTTTATTATAATTTCTCCTTAAAAATTATTTTACTAAATAAATGAATATCAATTTCACACCAAATATAATTGCTATAATAATTATTAATTCCTATTTTATACTTATAAATCATAAAACTTGTAATCAGGATATAATTAAGAGAATTATAGTTGATTTGCTTTTGGAATAATTCAACATTGTATTCTCAAAATTAAACACTATATATTTGCATCGAAGTGTGTTTTATAATAGTGATTTTAATTACTGTCAGATATCATGTATACTTATTTCAACTATATAATATCCCCACTGTGCCACAACATCACTATACTAGGTTTTTTTTTTTAATTTTTCTTGATTGTTTTACATTTTAAAGTATCAATATAAAAAAGTAATTTTATTATTAATCCATATAATTTTTTTAGTGTTTAACTGAATTAGAACATAGTGGAATGGGTCGTAACAAAGAACAAAGTGCTAGAATGATTGATCATATGGCTGTTCATGCTCCTCGTTTGGTATCACCATATGTACAACCTGTTTTAAAAATATTGATTCCTAAACTTGGTGAACCAGATTTAAATCCAGGAATTTTGATTAGTATATTAGCATGTATTGGAGATTTAGCTCAAGTAATTAATTTTTAATTGAACATTAACAGTTCTTAAAGAGAAATTTTTTTTATTCGTTTTTAAAATTTTTACTAGGTCAATGGTGAAGAAATGTGCTGTTGGACTGATGAACTTTTACCAATTTTATTAGATATGCTTGGTGATGGTGGATCTCAAGAAAAGCGAGGAGTAGCACTCTGGGTACTTGGAAAATTAGTTGAAGGTCTTGGTTATGTTATTCAACCTTATGAAAAGTACCCTACTTTACTTGATACTTTACTCGGTTTCTTAAAAACTGAACAACAACCTTTAGTGAGGTTAGTTAATTATTTAATTTTAAAATAATTATTTTAACTCAATATTTATTGCAGAAGAGAAACCATAAGAGTTCTTGGTCTTCTTGGTGCCCTAGATCCTTATAAACACAAAATGAATTTAGGCCAAATAGATTCTCAAATTGAATCGACAGCTTTTCTTTCTATGACTGATTCTCGTCCTATATCTGAAACAGAATGGACTACTAGTGAAATGCTGGTGAATATGAGTACAGCAACTTTAGAAGAATATTACCCAGCAGTAGCTATAGCTACTCTTATCAGAATCATACGTGATCCAAATTTATTTCAACATCACACTATGGTTGTTCAGGTTGATATTGTTTTTATTAAAAATTTTAAATTATTTCTGTTTTATTATTTTAATACACAATTGTGTATGTATTGAAAACTTCTTTATTTGCAGTAAATACATTTTTAGTTTAATTTCTTTATTATTACTTTTATCTGCAATTTTCAGGCAATAACATTTATTTTTCAATCATTGGGAATAAAATGTGTTCCCTACATACCACAAGTAATGCCAAGTTTTTTAAATGTAATTCGTACTGCAGATGCCAACTTTAGAGAATATTTATTGCAACAGTTAGCTGTACTTATCAATATTGTTGGACAACATGTTCGAAATTATTTAGATGATATATTTTTATTAATCAAGGTATGAAAAGTAAACGATTTGTTTTTGAAAATTCTAATATTATTACTTTTTTTTTCAGGAACTGTGGACACCTAATAGCTCTCTTCAATGTACTCTTATACAACTTGTTGAATATATAGTTGTGGCTTTAGGAGCTCAATTTAAAACTTATTTGTCACAATTAATGCCAAATATACTTAGGATACTTTATCATGATTCCAGTAAAAATAGAAATGTTACTAAAAGAGTAAATATTTTGTATTTAATAATAGGATTACATTTTTTTTTTATAAAAATATTATCATTTAGATGGTTGTTGCATTATGTAAATTTGGTATAAATTTGGATGAGTATTTACACATGATAATGCCACCACTTGTGAATTTATTTGATGCAACTGAACATCCAACACAAGTTAGCCAGGTTGCAATGGAAACTGTTGCTCAGTTAGCATACAGTTTAGATTTTACTGATTTTGCTTCAAGAATCATACATGGAATTGTACTATTAAAACATAAATTTTAGTGAATTTATATGTAAACAATTATTTATTTAATTACAATAGGTAAATTCTATTGAAAATACTCCAGAACTTCGAAAAACTGCTATGGAAACATTGTGTGCTCTAATTTGCCAGTTAGGTCGTAAATATGTAATATTTATGCCTCTTGTATCACGAACTTTAAACAAATGTCAATATAATTATCCTGCTTATGATACTTTGATAACATATATATCTTCAGTAAGTACATTTTAATTGAAATATAATTAAAATTTAGTATAATTTGTGAATTTTTGTCTACAAATTTAATTCAGATTTATTTTTTATTAAAAATATTAAAACATAATTTTAATTTGTTAAAATACCATTTGTAATAGCATAATAATTATGCTTATATATATGGAAGCAATTTTTTTAATTATTAAAAAAATTTCATGACAAATTACTATACATTTCATTAGGGCTAAGTAGGTTTTCCTGACTTTTTTAGCACAAGAAATATCTTTGAAGAGAAGATGATAAACATATACTTGTACAGTGTACAGGTATATGTTTAATGTTACCAAAAAAATAAAACTTACTTTTGTATTGTATTATATTTAATAAAAAATGAATTGTTTAATAAAAAAAATATATTTGAAAAGTATGTAATGACAATCATTTCATTTATTAATATTTTCAAGAATATTGTATATTTTAGTTTATGCATTAATTATAAAAAAAATGTATAAGTTCTTAAGATTAGCAAAGATTTTTTTTTACTTAAAATATTGAAACTGAAAATTTGTATTCTACAGTAAAAATCAAACTATTTTGATATAATAATCATAATATTTGACTAAAAATGGGAATCACGGAGGCAATTTTTTGTTTTTTGGGTTATTTTTTTAAAATATATTTATTTATTTATTATTATATATTTTTTTAAATATTAAAAATATGTTGAGCGACCAGTAAAGAATTTTTTAAAAATCTCAAATTTTCACAAAATACCTATTTTAATGCATATAATAATGTTAAAATGAATCTCATTAAAATTTCGAAGATAGACTTTTTTTGATCCACAGTGTACACAAATAACTTTATATGAATAGATATCACTTTATCCTCAATATACCTTTTTAATTTATATACTACTTAGTTTTAGTAATTTGTTTATCCAGTAACAGAAAATAACCATTAAAATAAAAATTTACACCAAATAAATGTTTTTTAATCTGTAAATGAATTTTAATGAACCATATTTCTTTGTAAATTGATGTAATATTTTTGTTAAATTTCTTAAGAATTCTGAAGGGAGCTTGGAAGAAAATTTATTGTTGTCAAGACACAAACAGTTTAAAAGCAAAAAAGAAGTTGGAATGCATGTTCTTGGAGATTCAGCTACTATAATTAAAAAGGTACTTTTTATTTATATAGTTAATATTTATTGATACAATGAAGCATTTTTTAAAATGTTTTCATAGTATAACTTTTTTCCATCTATTTAACATTTAATCATTGTATATATTTTCCTAAAATGTTAATCTTTCTGATATTTGTAGGGTACTCAATTAATATGTGCTCTCATTATATAAATTATTGTTTAATATTTTAATTACAACATTGAAATTAATTAAAATAAAAATTACTCTAAATTGAGTTCTTAATAAAAAGTAATTAATACATTCTTATCAGAATATAATAACTTATTCTTAAAATTACACTTATGACAAGACCACATACAGGGGGTGGACAAAATAATATGAACACCTGACATATACTCAATATTTATTTATTAATAAGATGTTGCTTATTAATTCATTTAAATCCATTTGCTTTTAAAACCGCTTCAATCCTTCGCGGAATAGATTCAGTGTTATCCAAATGAGCGTTAAGTTCTGCTGTAACTTTAGCCGCGGTAGTTTTATGTTGTCTTGTCACAATCCGTTTTAATGTTCGTCGGTCCCTGTCAGTCAACTTTGGATTTCGCCCACTATTACTTTTCGCCGATGATGTTTTTCCGTATTTCGTGTATGCTGTCATTACTGTGGATACTGTCCCTCTTGACACGTTCAACAGTTTAGATGTCTCCGTTACAGACGCTCCCGCTAATCGAGCACTCACTATTTGCCCTCTTTGGAAGTCCGAGAGGTCACGCATTTTATTTTAAATTTATTTTAACGTTCGTAGTATAACCTGTGTTATACACTAATATGTTATAAATAACTACTATATTGTAATAATATACTAATTTTACGCCATGTTATCCAAAAATTATACAGTGTAGCCAACTTGCAACAATATGTAACTATATTGCATGGTGTTCATATTATTTTGTCCACCCCCTGTATATACATTTTCCCAATTTTTCAAAAGCGAAAAAAATTGAACATACTCTTTAGCAATAATAATTATTGCTAAAGAGTATGTTCAATTATTGTATTAATTTATAAATTTAAAATTTTACTATGGTATATTAACATGTTATTTATTTTAATTTATAAAAATAGATAATATAAACATTATAGTTTGACTATGTGTTATATTTTATTTTTGAGACTAACTCTAATTTTGTAGGTTTCACTTAAATTAATTTAAAAAGAAAACAAATGATATTAGATCAATAGTATAATAGCAAATATAATGCTTAAAGAGAATACAAATATTTTAGTATAATAATCATATTTTTCAATAATTTTCAGATAAGTAGTATTATTATTAATATAGTGATATACTGACATAACGCGATAATAAAATAAAATGTTATTTATGAGCCACCTCAATTTCTTTTTATAAATTGTATATTTTAGATGCACACTTCTTTACCGAATTTACAAAAAGCTTGGCTGGCTAATCGCTGTGTTTCTAAAGATGATTGGTTAGAATGGTTAAGAAGACTTGGGATTGATTTTCTTAAAGAGTCACCTTCTCCAGCTCTTAGATCTTGCTGGGCATTAGCACAGACATACTCACAATTACCTAAAGATTTATTTAATGCTGCTTTTGTAAGCTGTTGGACAGAATTAACTGAGCCACTAAGAAAAGAACTAATACAAACATTAGAACAAGCATTGATGGTTTCTGATCTACCAGAAATGACACAAACAATTTTGAATTTAGCTGAATTTATGGATCATTGTGAAAAAGGACCTTTACCTATTGATACTCATATACTTGGAGAGAGGGCAATGGATTGTCGAGCATACGCAAAAGCACTCCATTATAAAGAGGATGAGTTTATTAAAGAAAAAAACAGACACATTTGTCCAAATATTGTTGAGTCCCTAATATCAATAAATAATAAACTCCAACAAAAAGAAGCAGCATCTGGTATGCATGATACAACCTATAATTAATTCTTTCACTTCATTCTTTCTTATCATAGGCTTTTTAAATGTTATATTTTATATTATCAAATATGAATAAAATTAAAAAAATTCATTCAATGAAAAAACAATACTTACTATATTATTTGTAAGTTAATAATTATTAATAAGTAAACTTTATTAATAAGAATAATAAAGGATATAAAGAAATTGTTTTTATATAATGAATATATACATAAATTATATGTATTTATCATTATAATTTGAAGGCTCAGTAAACAATTAGTATGTTAGACCCTTAATCTTTTAGTTGTTGGTTTGAGTATTGAAAAGCCTATACAACTTTAATGGTGAAATCAAATTTTTACTTGCTTATATTTTAGACCATCACAAACCATTCAATTTATCTGTATTTTATTTAAAGAATGATTTATATATATCAAGCATTTAATTTATAGAAAGTATTCTTCTTTAAATATTTTTCAATTTTTTTTAACTTCTAAAATTAATTAGATTAACTTATTTTTTCTGAGCAGGACTTTTAGAAGTTGTTATGAGTAAAAGAGAAGAAGATCAGGAACCTGGAGAGCAGCTCAAAGTACAGGCAAGATGGTATGAGAAATTACACAATTGGGAACAAGCATTATCATTTTATGAAAGTTGTTTGCAAAAAGAACCTCATGATGTGGAATGGTCTTTGGGAGAAATGAGGTTAATAAAGTTTTAAATATTATTAGATTTAATATTTTAAGTAATTTTTTAATAATAGGTGCTTAGAATCTTTGGGGCAATGGGGTAAATTAAGTAATGTTGCTGCTTCTCATTGGTTACATTTTCCCGAGAATGGACGTGAAAAAATGTCAAGAGTTGCTGCTGCAGCAGCTTGGGGATTAAATCAATGGCAACAAATGTCAGTTTATGTTGAATGTATACCTAGAGACACTATGGATGGTGCATTTTATCGAGCTGTATTATCTATCCACGGAGAACATTATGAACGTGCTCAAAAAGTAATATTAGTCAATTTATTTTAATTTTCTTGTGTTACAAAACTTAATAATGATAAACTATTTAGTATATTGATTTGGCTCGTGAAATTTTGGATACTGAACTTACAGCAATGGCTGCTGAAAGTTATCAACGTGCATATGGTGCTATGGTTTCTGTACAAATGTTGGCTGAGCTTGAAGAAGTAATTCAATATAAGTTAAAGCCTGAAAAACGACCAATAATTTATAAAGTCTGGTGGGATAGACTTCAGGTATGTATTATATTTCAACAAAATTTTATTTATTTGTTAACCAATATTGTTTTATTTTAAATTAATTTTATCAATAGGGTTGTCAGCGAGTAGTAGAAGATTGGCAACGTATTATTCAAGTTCATTCATTGGTATTAAGCCCTAAAGAAGATATGCATACGTGGCTTAAATATGCTGCTTTATGTCGAAAATCATCTCGATTGGTAAAAAAAAAAAATTATATTTTATTAATTGTATAGTAGATATTTAATATTTGTAATTTTTTTTTAAAAATATGAGTTATTATAATATTAATAAATTTTCATAAATGTCAACACGCCTAAGTTTTGCTGCTACAGGTTTTATTTAAACTAAAAAGATAAATTTATATTTCTTTAAAAATCATAATCTCCTTTTGTAATCAAACTAAGAGGTGGAATTAATTTTATTCTATAGAAATGTTATTTAAAAAAAAAATAAATGCTCATTTTTTTTTCATTTTTAATATGTCTTAGGTATTGTCTCATAAAACTTTAACTACACTCCTGGGAATTGATCCCTCTCAAAATCCTAATGAACCATTGCCTGTAGAACACCCTCATGTTACTTTTGCTTACATCAAACATATGTGGACTTCCGGAGCTAAAATGGACGCATACAAGTAATATTTAAATAAAATTTTATAATATTTCTTATTTAAATATTTAAAATTAAATGTATGTTTATTTCTCTAGTCATTTGAATACTTTGATTCAAAATGTACTACCTCAATTGAAACGCAAAGGAAAAGAAAGTGAAAAAATACGTAATGACTCTACTAAAAAATTGCTAGCCAGGTTATACATTACTTAAATTGTATCATGTGTGCACATTTTTTTTTATTCTGATTTCTATACTTTTGTCAATGTGTTAGATGTTATTTAAAATTGGGGTGTTGGCAAGAAGAACTTCAAGGGTTAACTGAGCTTTCAATTCCTGATGTATTAGATTATTACTCAGCTGCAACAACACATGATCCTAGTTGGTATAAAGCGTGGCATTCCTGGGCATACATGAACTTTGAAACTGTCCTATTTTATAAACATCAATACCAAAATAAATCTCAGTCAAATGATCAGGTTGAAAAAGGAACAGTTGATAAAAATAATACTGAAGTAACTATATTTAGAAAAATTATTTATTTATTTTTTAATTATCTTAAATAAACGTTTAGACACAGAAAAATCTACAATATGTAGCTCGATTTACTGTACCAGCTGTTGAAGGATTCTTTCGGTCTATTTCGCTATCACACGGTAGTTCACTTCAAGATACATTGAGATTGCTCACATTGTGGTTTGAGTATGGTCAGCAACCTGAAGTGTATGAAGCTATTGTTGATGGCTTAAGATCAAGTCAAATAAATACATGGTTGCAGGTAGTTTAAATTTACATTTCAGAAATATTTAACAACCATTTATACTTTGTTTTTTATTAATGAATAAAATGTTGATTATTAAATGAATTTTAATCTTTATTTTTCATAACGTAATATCGTAATAATTTCAATTAAATACATAAAGAAAAAATTTGATGTTTTAAACTATTTTATTTTTAGGTTATCCCTCAACTGATTGCTCGGATTGATACACCTCGTACTTTAGTTAGTCGTCTTATTCATCATTTGTTAATTGATATTGGGAAACACCATCCACAAGCATTAGTTTATCCATTAACTGTGGCTAATAAATCTGCAAGTATGGTCCGTAGAAATGCAGCTAATAAAATTTTAAAAACTATGTGTGAACATAGTCCAAATTTAGTACAACAAGCTGTAATGGTCAGTGATGAATTACTTCGTGTTGCTATACTTTGGCATGAGTTATGGCATGAAGCTTTAGAAGAGGCTAGTAGACTATATTTTGGTGAAAACAATATTAAAGGAATGTATGAAGTTCTAGAACCGTTGCATGCCATGTTAGAACGTGGTCCTCAAACTTTAAAGGAAACTTCCTTTAATCAGGTTAGTAAATTCTAGTGAAATTCATTAAAAAAAAAAAGTGAAATGTTATTTTTTTAAGACGTATGGCCGAGATTTGGTTGAAGCATTAGACTGGTGTAATCGATTTTTAATATCAGGAAATAACCGTGATCTTAATCAAGCATGGGATTTATATTATCATGTATTTCGACGTATATCACGGCAACTGCCTCAATTAACTAGTCTGGAACTACAATATGTCAGTCCGAAACTTCAACAAAGTCGAAATATGGAGCTTGCTGTTCCTGGTTCTTATATACCTGGACAACCAGTTGTTAGAATTGCTTACATTCAAAATTCATTACAAGTCATTACATCGAAACAACGACCTCGTAAATTGTGCATTAAAGGAAGTGATGGAAATGATTACATGTTTTTACTTAAAGGTCATGAAGATCTCAGACAAGATGAAAGAGTCATGCAACTTTTTGGTCTAGTTAACACACTTTTACTCAATGATCCTGACACTTTTAGAAGAAATTTGACTATACAGGTAATTTTCTTGTAAGCTGACTTAAGTTGTCAGTACAGTCCAAATTTATATACATTTATAAATTATATTCGAGCCATTTTAAAACGCCCGAAGTTTGTGGAAATTTGTTGTTGGAATATACAGAAATAATTTTTCATTCTAAGGGGGATTATCTCCCTAACAATATAACTGCAGTTAGAACACATTCTTAAGTTTTTAAACCTATTAATACAAATTTGTATTGATTGGTGATGTATTTGGAATATCTTAATAAAATTTATAAATATTTGTAAATCCAGACTCTAGTTATCATTTATAATTTAAGTGTTAAAAATGTTAACACTTTAATCTCTCAAAATAAGATATCTATAATTATTTATTCCTTGAAACTAGTTATTATATTCTAACATCAAAGATGTTAGGCTAGTAATATTTTTTAATGAGTAATTTCTCATTAACTATACTGAACCTAATTTAAATAATAGTTTTAAAAAAATAATCATTCTTTAAAACTATTTTTTAATTATCTTAACCATTCTATATCTTTTGTGAATATTTATCTCATTAAGTTAACTTACTTATAGTAAATTGTAAATTTTAATTTAAGTAAAAAATGTTTAGAGATATGCAGTTATACCCTTGTCTACAAATTCTGGTCTTATTGGTTGGGTGCCACATTGTGACACATTGCACACTTTAATTCGTGACTACAGAGACAAGAAAAAAATACTACTTAATATTGAACATAGAATAATGTTAAGGGTAAGTGCAACTTTATTACATTTTTTCCATTAATTACTAAAAATGTTTACATAGATGGCGCCAAATTACGATCATTTGACACTAATGCAAAAAGTAGAAGTGTTTGAACACGCATTAGCTAATACTCAAGGTGATGACCTAGCCAGATTATTATGGCTGAAATCCCCATCTTCTGAAGTTTGGTTCGATCGCAGAACCAACTATACAAGATCATTAGCAGTCATGTCCATGGTTGGATACATACTTGGTTTAGGGGATAGGTAGTTTAAAATACACAATACTCATAATATTTTTTAATTTGTTATCAAATCTAATGTAAATGTTAATTATTAATTATTAAATAGACATCCATCAAATTTAATGCTTGATCGTCTAAGTGGAAAAATTTTACACATTGACTTTGGTGATTGTTTTGAAGTGGCTATGACCCGTGAAAAGTTTCCTGAAAAAATACCATTTAGACTAACTAGAATGTTGATAAATGCTATGGAAGTATGTTTAATACTATTTAATATATTTCAATTTTAATTGACTAATTACACTATGGTTTTTAAGGTAACTGGTATTGAAGGAACTTATAGAAGTACTTGTGAAAGTGTAATGACTGTTCTTCGAAATAATAAAGACAGCTTAATGGCTGTACTAGAAGCATTTGTATATGATCCATTGCTAAATTGGCGACTCATGGAAGCAGGGATTGGCGCTAGAAGAACTGCTGCTGCAACAGCAGGAGCTACTGTTGTTGGAACAAATCCTATTAGTGTTGCATCAACAGCTACTACTGTATCAGAAGAACCAAGTATGGCAGCTAGTTTTGCTGCATCACTTAGTAAAAAAGCAGCACCCCTCAATGTTGGAACTGGTGGTGATTTAGGTACAATTCTCAATACATTAATTACTGAGAAAACAAGGCATAATTAACTACTTCAACATTTTTCTAGGTGACATAGAAAATGAACCAACAGAGGCTTTGAACAAAAAAGCACTAGCAATTGTTACACGAGTTAGAGAAAAATTGACTGGTCGTGATTTTGTTCATGAACAAGAACTAACTGTACCAAAACAAGTGCATTTATTAATACAACAAGCTACAGCAAATGAAAACCTTTGCCAATGTTATATTGGATGGTATGTATTTTTAATAGTTTACTTTTAAGTTACAAAATAATGATAAATATAAAACAATAAAATTATAATTTATAACTAAATACATATTATATTCCCAGAAAATTTACTAATCATAACTATTTTTAATTAACTTTGTACTTACTCCATTGAAAAATATTACCTAGAGTTTATAAGTAAAAAATTATTGACTTTAAATTAAAATAAAATTCTTTGATATACAGGTGATTCATTATATTTGTTCTTATAATTTTCTTATCTGTAGAACAATTCTTGTGGTTCGCATAAACAATGCTTGTTTATGTGTAACTATTTTTGACTACTTTTCTATTGATAATTTTGCTATTTAGCACTCAATGTTGTCCATTGTCACAGATACAACTATAATATTCATCATACAGTAATCTTAAATAATTTATGTCTATTAAAATACGCATAATGTTACATCAACACAAGTTTACTATCATACATTGTTCAATGACTGATGTGGAAAATTTTTCTTGTTTATAGAAAACTAAATAAACTAAAATATATTGTCCATTTATCTACTACATTTAACAAACAATTTCTTAATATTTATATACTCAAAATTGACCACAAATCTGTGTAAAGAGTAAGAAAAAGTCTTTTTCTGAAACTTTATTTCACACTATAACAAAGCTATTGTTACTGGTATTTAACCAGTATCAGTTATTTATTACCTTTTATAAAATGAAAATCTTTTTAAAAAAATTATTATTTTTATTTATCATACTGATAATATTTTTATAAAAGTCACTATTATTGTTTATAACTAATAGAATTCGGTTTTTTTACAGGTGCCCATTTTGGTAATTGTACTGTATTTTGTTAAAAATTTGTTTTTTTCCTTTATTATTGTTATCTTGTATACTGTAATTTAATTTTTAATACAAATTAAACTATTTCTTTTAATTAAAAAAGTATATATTTTTCTATTGTTGTATTTTAGTCTTTGTTGCATATATTTTTATTTGATTATTTATAGTTTCAAATTATCAAATTACTTCTATATGTAATGATAATTGTAATATGTACAACTTTTTAAAAACTAAACTTTGTTTGATTTAATTCATTAAAACGTCACACTATTGATATTTGATTAGCTTAATAATGTGTATAGAATGATAAGGTATAATATGCTTCATTTTGAATATTACTTAATAAATAAAAAATAATAATTTAAAAAAACTGTATTTGATTAATCTTGAAAAAATATGGTTATCTCATATATATCTTTTTAAAGTAAAATAATTAATAAAATCTATGATCTTCCATATTTATTGTTTTATTGAGAATTCCTTCAAACTTAGAAACTACTCTTTAAAAACACTTGATAATGCAAATATTTAAATAAATTAAACATTGTATTGTAGAATGAACATTTTATTTTTATTTTTTTAAAACTATTAAATTTAAGAAACAATTTTAATTTAAGGAGTTACCTACTTCATTGTTGAACACTATTCAATTTATTTTAGAAATGTCACCAAAAATTAGTAATTTTATAAAAATTAAAAAAGAAATAATTTTTTTAATTTTTCACAAACAACTTATTGATGTTCTTAGAAAAAATCTTATTTTTTATTATTGAAAATATTATGCTAATATTCGACACTATAATAAATTCTAAGACAACTATTAAGCTATAATTTACACTATAAAGCATAATACATGAAATATTAATAAAACGCTCTAGCCTTAAAAATCTAATAAAATTGAGCAGCTATAGAAATTCAAATATATTAAGAAGCCATAGAAATGTAAAAAATATGAGAAGCCTTAAAAATGTAATAAAATTGAGAAGCCATAGAATTCAAATATATTAGAAAGCCATAGAAATATAAAAAATATGAGAAGCCATAGAAATGTAAAAATATGAGAATCCTTAAAAATGTAATAAAATTGAAAAGCCATGGAAGTTCAAATATATTAAGAAGCCATAGAAATGTAATAAATATAAGAAGCTTAGAAATTATTTTAAAATTGAATAAACTATTTGGTGTATGACAGTTCAACAACTAATTAAAGTACTTTCTCTCTTAAATATTCTAAAAGTATTTCTGAGTATCTATTGATAATAGTTTAATGTTATAATGGCTCATTAAGTTATATAATCTTTAAAGATAAGAAATATAATCTTTAACTAAATGAAAAATAAAAGATTGAACTTACTAAGATTATCACTGATCTGTCACAATTTTTAAGTAGGAATTTTAGGTAGTTATTATTACTTCAACATATTGATTACAGGTCAAATGGTTTGTTAATATTTATTTAAATGCATTTATAAACCCTTTTACTCCAATAATTCTGGTAAAAAATTCTATATATTTTTTTAAAATACTCGATCAAATGTTGTTATCAATCAGTCAAATTTAGAAAAATCATTTTTATGATAAATAAATATTGTTTTCATTAAAAAAACTCAAGTTTATAAAACTTTACGGAGGTAGGATAGAGATAAGACAAATTTATTTTTTGAAAATTATTAGACAAAATTATCAATGAAGCAATCGTTGACTTATGATTTTTTTATTTATATTCTATCTATTATGAGTTGACAAATTGTTAACTTTTGACAGGTTATCAATCGATCGTTTATTAATCCTTTGTCAAACATATTTCTGGAAAAAACATTTGAAATTAGTTTGTCGCATATTACATTTTATTATTATTAGTATTACACAAATTACGTACTAGGGTTTATTGTAAATAAACCCATAACATTTTAATTATTTGAAACGTATAACCAGGGCCGTATTTAGGATGTATAGGCCCCTCCCTAGGCTAGCCTGTGGTGCGGGCCCAACCATGGTCATAGAAATATATTTAATATATTGATAACCGGTTGTCTTTTTTTTGCACACCTTTCCATTAAAAGAGTGTTTCTATAAATAAATTTTTTTAATTAAAAATAATAAATTATTGATAATTCATAATTTTAACTATCATAACGTAAAAACAAAACAACTAAATTTAATTCAAGCTCTTCTTGATTAAAATTAATTTTTAAACTTCAATAATGATTTTTTTATTATTATACTATAAGCCGGATAAAAATTTATAATAAATAAATATAGTTAAAAAAAACTAAAAAACACGCTTTTAAAGCACATTGAACTAAAAAGTTCAAAATAATTTTTAAAATAAGCTTAAAACAATATTGAATGAAAAGTACTAGAATTATTGTGATAAAAGCGTCGGGCGCTCAATATACGAAAAATATGGCACGAAGCACCCACGCTTTTATCACAATAATACTAGTACTTTTCGTTCATTATTGTTTTACGCTTATTTTAAAAATTATTTTGAACTTTTTAGTTCAATGTGCTTTAAAAGCGTGTTTTTTAGTTTTTTTAAACTATATTTATTTTTTACTTTTTAGGTTTATGTTATGATAATAGTTACTATCAATATCATGGTTGTAACGGGTAACGGGAATACAGGTTCGATTCCGGGGAGAGAGTCTGAGAAACGGCTAGTGACGAAAAATGATATGGGAATCATCCCCCGTAATCGGAATGAATACACCACATATCTCTTAATGAGAATAAAGCGTATTAATATACAGGGTGTTCAGTAAGTCAGGAAACGGGTTTCTATTGTACTCATTGTTTGTAACAATAAGAACAATAGAAACCCGTTTCCTGACTTACTGAACACCCTGTATAAGTTTTAATAGTAATTAGAATATATATATATACATGTAAAGGGACTTAAGTACGTAAACGTATCATGCATGAGGTATAGCCGTATTTTGTGGGCGGGGGGAACATTATACACGAGGCATATACGGCGGCAGAGGCGTCGGCTGTGGAATATATAAATGAATATTAACATATACGTATATACGTATAAATATTAATATATATATGTATATATATACAGCTGTTCAGTAAGTCAGGAAACGGGTTTCTATTGTTCTCATTGTTTGTAACAATGAGAACAATAGATACCCGTTTCCTGATTTACTGAACACTCTGTATTAATATTAGCGGTGGCGGTAGGAATACAGGGTGTTCAGTAAGTCAGGAAACGGGTATCTATTGTTCTCATTGTTTGTAACAATNTACAGTCGTGTTTTGTGAGCGGGCAGGTCGGACTAACGTTATACCTGAGGTATAAACGGCGGTAGAAATATATACGTAAGCCGTATGCACGCGGATGATAATGGTCAGTCAAAATAAAAATTTGTTTATATATATATATATATATATAATATTGATGACAAGCACGCGTGTACGGGTACGATAACCAAAAATAAATTTATACAGGAATAGTATTGCCGGCGTGTAATGAGCGAGGCGTAGGGTGGGGTGAATGCGTTATGACAGTCTAGTCTAGACGACGGAATATGCGATAACGCGTGGCGTTTGGAGAGTTACATACATACATACATACATACAGGTGAAACTAATATAAGCGTGTTAAAAAACAGTTTTCTTATATTTTTAGATAGGACAAGATATCATCTTGTCATTTTGATAAAATGTAACTTTTAATAACAAATTGCTATCATTAAAAATCCTTTATAACGAAATGAAAATCAAAGTAATTCTTTGTGCAATTTTTGTAATAAGTTTTACAAAATACTTCATGTCTTAATGTATAAAATAATGTACGAGTAATATTCTCGCCATTGTAAAACCAATACTCATTTCTGTATTAAATCTTATATAAAAAAATTAGTAATCTGATGTTGACTTGCTTGTTAGTAATGATGTACTTGTAGGATTTGTAATAACGATCGTCATTTAAGATAATCGTTAATAAAAAAGGATAAGTAATAAGTAATAATACGACACTATAACTGAGCTATAATTATAATTACGTTAACTATTACGCGACACTTAAGGAATGGATAACATCATTAAATATAACTAGGGACTTAGAAATCCAAAATGCTTATAAGTCATTGATTTTGTTTCATAACGTCAGTGCTATTTCGAACTTATATATTGTAACGTTGTTTTATTTCAAAAATATTACGAACTTCTTCATACAAAAACATGGCATTATATCCTTCAAATGTAAGTTAATAACACATTTTTTCAATATTTTAATGCGTTTTTGTTGTATTCTAATTAATGGTTTTTAATTCAATAAAATAATTACTATTTTTAACTAACAATAGGTGCAACTTTTATGCATTGTATTAATGTCGGCTATTGGATGTTTAACTCAAACAAAACCTATATTAATTCCTTTGCCCATACCTTCTTCGACTCCTTTACCTATTTTCAATCCTTATAATCCAAATTTTCCTCCGCCATTCGCACCTTTACCAAATCCAAACTCTCGTCCTTTTGTACCAATAATACATCAAACTTTTGATATAACTCCAGAAGGATCATATTCATTTGGGTAATTGTATACATTTTAATATTAATATTCGTGCGTTGATTAGCCGCCATAAGCTTACTTATATGATTAGTATATATAACTATCTTTCATAATAAAAAATTGTTATTACTTCTACATTTATCTCTAAAAGTATACATAACAATTACAGTATAAGATTTTTAGTTTACAAAACATCTTTAGAATAAGAATAAATTTAATATTGACCTATGATACTAAAAACATAATTTTTAACGAAGTTGTCCATAAGTAAGCTTATTTTCTATTGCAGGTGAATTTTTAATCTAAACCAATAATAATTTATATAAAAATCCAAAATAATAATCATTGCAATTTTTAAAGCTATCAGTCAGCTGATGGTAATCAAAGACAAGAATCTGGAACTCTTAAATATCCAACAATTCCAGGATTTCAGCCAGTAATATCAGTCAAAGGGTCGTATTCTTCATTATCTCCCGGAGGTAAGATGGTTGTTACATCATTTTAGTTATGCAATTCAAATCAAACGTGTGTAGAACAAAATTTTTAATTCTTGGTTACTTATTACTTACTATACACTAGAAAAATTTCATTAGGCTAGTTGATTTTAAAATATAGCATGCAATAAGATAAATATTAAAAAATAAACCCTTAATTTTATCAACACTCAACTATAATTTTTACTTTTTAGGGTTAAACTAATTAACTAAATCAGAAACTTTACACTTTTTTTAAAATTTTAATTACGTAAAATTTAAGAAAAAATATAATAGTAATTTAATCAAGTCAAAATAATTTTTCCATTTTTAATTTTTAACTAAATCTAAATAATTGAAAATTAAAATAGTAATACAATTTTATTACTGTTTTTATTTTTCAATGATGATTAAAATCACTATCATAAGAAACGCTTCGATGCAAATCTGTAGATAGTGTTTCATTTAGAGAAATTAATGGATTATTCCAAAAGCAACATCAACTCTTATTTCTTTGATTATATCCTAGTTAGTAGTTCTTTGATTTTAAAATATAATATATGAATAAATACTAATTATAATTATTAAATTAGTATGAAATTGATATTCAATAATTTAAACGGAGAAATTATAAAAATAATAAAGAAGTTGTATTTTGCTTTATTTTTACGTGTATAAAAATTTAAAGGGCTTGTGATACAGTAAATTTCAATAAAAACTGTTTGTTACTATAAATAAATGCACTGAACTACAAGAAACTTTCATCAGTAACAAAAATATACCATTCTAAATCAACTTTTCGCGATGTTTTCAAATCTGCAATTAGACATTTTTCTTTCACTTCTAAGTTTTAATATTATTAAAAATTAGTATTTACATATAAAAAATTCGCATCGAAGCTAAAAAATTGGCTATTTAAGCTAACTCAAATTTAAAAATTACTTTTTCGACTTTAAAAAAGTAAAAAAAATTTATTATGTTTAATTTCTTATGTTTTATGAAATTTATTCTATGTCAATTAAATTATACAATATTCATGAAAGTCAATATATTCTCCTAATAAGATATTTTAAAATAAAATAAAATACAAAACCTAGAATTTTAATAGAAAAATAGCATATTTTTGAATACGGTAGCCATTTGCGCATAGAAGATAGGTCGTCGGGACCAAATTTTTTTTTTTCATTTTATAGTACATAAAATAAGCTTTAATTTGATATATGTTTAAAGGACGCAGTCTTTCCGGAACATTTTCAAAAATTAAGTTGAAAAAGTTAGTTTTTGTAAAAAAGTTGCAATTTTAAATCCCCCCCCATGAGCAGGCTAAGTGTTAAATTTTCAAAAAAATGATATCAAATGAAAGGTAAATATCTAAGGTTTTAGTATAAAAAAAAATTATGTTGATTTGTTGATTTTTGAAAAAGTTATGGAAGTTTTAAGAAAAAAAAGACAAAATTCATCGATTTTTAAATTTGTAATTTTTTTGGATATCTCCCCCATTTGCGGGGAACGAGGGAAAATGTTTAAATTTTTAAGGGTAATGTCTTAAACTAGATACAATTTGTGATCTTTTGACGTATTATTAAAAGAAATCGGTCCAGTGAGAGCTGAAAAAAGTAGAGACAGACACAAAAAAAAAATAAATAAATAAACACATCATGGTAAAATTATGGTAAATTATTATTAGCTTCGCATCGAAGCTAATTTAATTTGAAAAATTATTATTTAATATATTCATGTTTTTTTTATGTTTAGGCACTATTGTTGAAGTTAAATACATAGCTGATGAAAACGGATTTCAACCTTTTGGGCTCGGAATTCATCCATCGATTATTCGAGCAGTTGCCCAACAAGTGGAACAAGCAAAACGAGAAAAATCACAGATAGTATCTTTTTAAATCCGTGGCTTTTTCTTTATACTATTTTTAATAATATGTACAAAATAATAAATAACTAAAATAAAATTTCTACTCTACATTAAACACTGGTATTCATACTGAGGATTTTAATTTACTTAAACGATCGTTAAAGGTCATTGATATTTTTAGTGAAGGACTCCTCTTAATTTACATTGTGGATGTTCTGCCATTTTAGAAATATTAATATCAATAAAATGTTAAACTTACATTTTAACGTCAAATAAACATTATATTAACTTATAACTTTTAAAATACTATTAAGGTTATGTTCTTTGACATAAAATAAAATTTCAATGGCACTAATGTATCTTTTCATCGTGTAATACGATTCGTGTTTAGTTTTAGTTATTATAGAGGTGGACATAATGTCCATGCACTCAGACCTGTTAGTCCAATGTGCGCACCTCAATTATCTTGATTCGGTTTACCCACCTAAGTGTTATCACCAAAGTTTTATTGCAATATACTTATCATTGTATAAGACCATCAATTCACCCTTATGGATGACCAAAGAGTCTTGTCTTTCCAGCGAAATTCAGTATCTCTCTGGGTCTTAGATTTTTAATATCTTCTTTTTCAGGAAAAAGTTTACTCATGTATTTTGATCTTAGTGTGGACAAGGCCACACATTCACACATAATGTGAAATGAGTCTTCGTCTTCTACTCCACACTTCTTGCACAATGGTGATTCCGATACCCCTAGCGTAATTTGCTGACTCTTTGCTAGTAGACGGTTCATCAAGTGTCCCGTTGTTCGCATTGAGACCTTCAAGTTCGCGATTCTTCTGCAAGGAGTCGCCAGTTTACGCTCTTGTTCCGAGAGGTTGTCCGTAGGATCCCTGTTCATCCCAAGTTCGTTATTTTATGGTTTTTCTATGTTTTTGTCCATATAGTTCCCACAAGTATTCAAGAAATAAAGGTCCATCACAGCAGAGCTTGATACTGTGATAAGGCTGTATACTTTATGGTGCGCCAAGTGCCATAGAGGATCCCAATGGTCACTTTACCTTTCGGCTAACTACCCTGTGATAAGTTAGCAACCCTTTCACTTGGTGTGGCTGGGTTAGGGGGAGCTATTCACTGTTAGCAAGCAGGTATGCCCAGGCCTACCGGTCCCAACTAATCAAGTCATGAACGGCTAAGAGCAGTGGTACGTGTCGTCATCCCCACTGAATTATCTAGGGTCCGCAGGGCTGTTATTCCCTTGATCCTTTCGGATCCCCCTGCGGAGAACGATTCGTGTTACTAATATAATTTTATTTTCGTTTCATTTATAAATTGATAAAATAAAAAAATTAAAAATAATATGTTTCACAAAATAATTATTTTTATTAAGAATTTAAAAATAGTTTTGAATAATTTTTTCACTAAAACTTCTTCAATAACTAAGAGCCACTTTTGCTTTCACATTTAACTCGTATTAGATTGATTGCTGGTGCAAATAATTTCTTGTAGATATTTGCTATTTGGACATGTTTGTATTATTAAGTGTTAGAACTATTGGAGATCTTCGACAAAAATTTACTGGTTGAGCTGCAGATAATTCAGTTCTTGAATATATTAATATAAAACTGTTCATATATTATAAATTATAGGAAATTTTATTTACAATTTAATGTTTAACATTATTTTTATCTAGAATTTTTATCATTACATACAGACTATAAATCATACAAAAATATTTTATTCCATTCTCTAAAAATTTTACTCAAGTTTGTATACAAGTATTGTAAAATTTTACACAAGTGTTATGAATTTTTTGTTAAAATTATTAAGGCTTGGGACTTAATGCATTTATAAAATTTGTTTAAACCTCTTCTGAGACATCCAAAAAAGTGAAAAGTAAGTAACATAAGTGTATACAGCGTCCTAGGAATATTTTATGTTTTAGGGAAAGTAAACTCCTCTACATCCCCCAAAACTAAATTTCTAATTATTATACACTAAATTGTGTTTATAAAAATTAACATGAATATTTATTTATCATTGATATACTTTAAGTGACTAAAATAAACTTTATAGATGCATTAAGTTCTGAGCAGTATTGATTATGAATAAAATGGTATTTAGACTACATTATTTAAAATACTTTTTTTATCTTCAATTATTTTTTTGTTTAAATTTAAGTTTTCGAAACGTGTAATTTTATGTATTTTAAGAAAAAAATTATTATCTTATATAAACACTTATATTATATTATCATATATTACTACAAGTGATTTTATGTTATTAGCGAATAACAATTTATGGATTTGTTACATCAGTAATAATGCCTATGTAATCGGTTGACATATATAAATAAATACACTTTTCGTCTTGCATATCAAGTTCGTCATATTTTGGCCATCCTTTACTAAATAACATCCAACCACCATCTATATAATATGCATAAATACACACATCCAAATAATAAGCTGCACCTATTAATTCTATCGGTCCACATAAATTTTTTACATTCCCTGAAAAAATTGACGTTGATTAAATTGTACACCGATAGTATTTTACAAACGTAATTATACAATATAAAACGACATAATTTTGTTTCATCATATTTATTAAACCCGTAATTAACAAAAAATTATAATTTTTTAAAGAATACTTATTCTAATTTTTATACAATTTCAAGTATTTTATTTATTATTTAGCTGAACTGTGAAATCCGAGAAGTTAACTTCACTAAAATAAATTTGTTTGTTTTTATTTATTTATTTTTTATCAACATAATTTTTCTGATCACATACGAAAAATTTCACTCAAAAATACGCCAAATAATCGTATTTAGTTGAATCTATCATGATCATAATTTTTAAAAATTCAGTTACATCATTTCACTAATTTTCTCAGAATCAACTGAGAATTTAAAACTTTTGAAACAGAGATAAAATACTAAGTTTAAAAAACTCAATGTAACGTGCAAAATAGTACTCCTTCAAATGTTTGTATTAGATTTGTATATTTTTATTTATTTTAGTTAATTTATCTGCGTATTCCAACATCCCTTAGGATTTTTTTGTTTTTGATAATGTGTGATATGTTTGGCTGCATTATCTGTGCTACATCAACGAACAGGTTGACTGATATTAAATGGTATACACTCCAATGTCCTTCCTGTTTAGCTCTCTAATGCATTAAACGCCATTCTCTGTAACATTGTCCAGTGTAGGCTTAATATTTTATTATTTCGGTTAAAAGCTCGAGACGTTTAAGCATCTCTAGCGCTCTAGCCGGTCTGATATGCCGGTTGTCGAGAAATAGCTAGATTCGATACTGGTTTTGCTGTTATCAGTTCATACCGAGTATTTTTTTATTGAGAGCACTACCAATATTTCTGCGTGTTTTTATGACTAGACTACTAACAAATGGTGTTTCAGCCTGGGACAAACGATTGACTAAAAATAGTATATAATAATGTATAATATTATAGTAATATGCCATGTTTGAAGCCAGTCATCTACAAGGAGACGTTTTTCGCATTTTCTTGTATAAAAGTTGTAGTTGTCTTATTTTTTATATTTTAAAATAATATTTAAGCCTTTAATTTACAGACGAAATTGGATTTAATATTTTTGTAACATTTCATCTACAATAATATGTAGTGAAATATAATGTTTTTTTCCGTTCAGGGATAAAAATGCTAAACTATAATTGTCTTAAATAAAAACCTCTACTTTTTTAAATTGAAATTATGTAAGAAAAGAAAATTATAAATTTTTTTTTTCTAAGACATCAATTTAATTTTTGTGAACATCTAAACAATTGATTACTATGCATTTTTCAAGGGAGTAATGCTCACTAGGGTAACCCTTAGATACATGAGAGTTTTTTTTCTTAATTCTTGTAAGTGCTACCCCCTGAATTATTCGATTACATGAAAAAATAAATTGTACAAAATTTGGAGACGATTGGTCAACTTTAATACGTGTCCCAAGGGGATTAAAAATAACTCCCAAGGGTGATTTTTTAGTTTTTTTTATCTATCTCAAAAACTTTAGTTTTTGCGAAAAAGTTTATTTTGGACTTTTTGTAGGTATACAATTTTTTTATAAAAAGTATGTATACAAAAATTTTCGAAAAGTTCTTATTTAGCCCTAAAAAAATAAAAAAACGTATATGTTCTATTTTTACCGTTAAAATTATTAATTTATAAATCGTTCATTGTAAAAACAAAAAAAAATTCATTTAAACGTTGTTTTAAATTTAATTTTCTATACATTTTTAATTCGACATTTTTTCTATTATTTACTATTCAAAACCTACAATTTTTTTAATTTTAATTTAAAAAAAAACACATCAGAGTAAAATTAATACCGTCTCAGCTTCACATTGAAGCTAAAATAATGTTAACTTACAAATTTATATACAATCAGTAACTATTTACAAAAAAAAAACGTACTAAAAAAATTTATTATATATTTTAAATAATTTATCTTTTTTATAATTCTTGGCATAATGTGCTTTTATTGCAATTAGGAAAACAACGCCGGCATTCTGTAACAATCTGTAATAGGTATTGTTTTTGTGCTTCGTCTTTTGTTATAATATTATTATACTCTTCTTTGAGTTTCACGCCCCTCTATGAGGCACGTCTTAGAGTTGAGCAATCGTCACCAAATTTTGTATAATTTATTTTTTCATGTATTCAAATAATTCTAGGGGGTGGCATTTTGTAATTTTTAAATTTTATAAATAAGGAACACCCTAATGCTCACCCTCAAATGATATTACTGAAAAAATCCTTAATATTCTGTAAATTAGAAATTCTCTTAAAAAGTTAAGAATGTAAATTTTTGATATTTATTACTGATTATAGATATTTATTGATATTATAAACTTTTTATACTTAGTAATAATAGACGTACCAATATTAATATTTATCATTAAATAAATATTGTCTTTATAATCAATGCCAAGACTAGGATTTGAGGCGCCCACAACAAATCATAATTGTGCCATAGGAAAGGAGATTGAAATCTCCCATTAAAAGTGATTACATGGTGAAGATACAATTTTGTTTTGTTTAAAGGAGTTTAAATATTTTTCTTATGTATATCGCCCCTAATAAATAAAATGCTAACACGTCAATATTATGCGCAGGGCCTCATAAAGCGAGCCCCACTTACATCGAACTTATGATGGTACTATTTTATAACTGTTATATAAGCTATATAACAGTCGTGTGTCCAATTGAAAATAGTATAACAAATTTAATTTATTACTCGAGTACTTGAAATAAGTAATTCCTACAAAAAGTATAAATTCATAGCATACCCGTTTCCTTGTCTGTAATGTATGAAATGTTTTCTCTACAAAGTGGACACTTCATTTGTTTTCTCTGTAACATCATTTCAGAACAATTGTGACACAATCGGTGTTTACAATCCCATAAAGTTGATGTAGAATCTTCATAACAAATCGGACATTGTTTCACCGCTCCTTAAATGTAATTGATAGTTAAGATAAATATTTTAAGTGAAATCAAATAAAAGTTTTAATGTTATATTTATCACACTAAATTAGTCTTAAAAGGATTTTTCAAGAGCGTAACCAAATTTTACTCGTTGGCGAATTCTAAAAAATTAATTGGTAATTAAAGTAAACGTTTAGTATAAATAAGTCAAATTAGTAGTGCTACATTTATGATAGTTTATTATACTACTTTAATTAATTATTTTACTTTTAAATAATTCCTATAATTTGTAAACGTAAGATTCCAGTTAATATTGAGTAAGTTTTAACAAAAAAATTAATAAATAAATAACTGTTTAAACAGATATTTTTATAAAATAATAATGACAAAATTGATTGAATTTAAAAATGTTGCAATTCAACATTAAAAAAATTAATTATAATGAGTTAAAAACGAGATAGTCATGTAAAAAATTTTTTTTATAAAAAATTATAATTAAAATTAATAGATTAAATGTTTATTTTAATTAAATAATGTTAAAACCTCATTTGTTTGAAATTAAATATAAAATGTATTATTTTAAAGCTACGTTGGACTTTTAACTAAATCAAAATTATTTATTTAAATTACATTACGAAAATTTTATGCGTAAATAAATACATTTCATTACTCAATATTCTATACTCAATCAAAAAAAAATCAAGTCTGTAAAATTATTTTAGAAACTTAAAATAGTTTTTACAAAGAGTGAAATATATGAAAATGTATGAACATTTTTATAATCTATACATGTAATCAATTTTATATATATGATTTTGTAACTACTGAAGTAGTTACATTTTATGATAGTTTATAATAAAACTTTAGTTAAATCTAATATGTTATTCATGTAGTGATATAACGTAAGAATATTCAAAAATATTTTTTGGGTAATATGAATTGTCTTGAGAATATTATTTTGCATACTATTACAGAAGAATGTAGTATTTTAAAATATAGAAGTAAATAATTTTTTTAAAAATATTACATCNATATTATGCGCAGGGCCTCATAAAGCGAGCCCCACTTACATCGAACTTATGATGGTACTATTTTATAACTGTTATATAAGCTATATAACAGTCGTGTGTCCAATTGAAAATAGTATAACAAATTTAATTTATTACTCGAGTACTTGAAATAAGTAATTCCTACAAAAAGTATAAATTCATAGCATACCCGTTTCCTTGTCTGTAATGTATGAAATGTTTTCTCTACAAAGTGGACACTTCATTTGTTTTCTCTGTAACATCATTTCAGAACAATTGTGACACAATCGGTGTTTACAATCCCATAAAGTTGATGTAGAATCTTCATAACAAATCGGACATTGTTTCACCGCTCCTTAAATGTAATTGATAGTTAAGATAAATATTTTAAGTGAAATCAAATAAAAGTTTTAATGTTATATTTATCACACTAAATTAGTCTTAAAAGGATTTTTCAAGAGCGTAACCAAATTTTACTCGTTGGCGAATTCTAAAAAATTAATTGGTAATTAAAGTAAACGTTTAGTATAAATAAGTCAAATTAGTAGTGCTACATTTATGATAGTTTATTGTACTACTTTAATTAATTATTTTACTTTTAAATAATTCCTATTATTTGTAAACGTAAGATTCCAGTTAATATTGAGTAAGTTTTAACAAAAAAATTAATAAATAAATAACTGTTTAAACAGATATTTTTATAAAATAATAATGACAAAATTGATTGAATTTAAAAATGTTGCAATTCAACATTAAAAAAATTAATTATAATGAGTTAAAAACGAGATAGTCATGTAAAAAATTTTTTTTATAAAAAATTATAATTAAAATTAATAGATTAAATGTTTATTTTAATTAAATAATGTTAAAACCTCATTTGTTTGAAATTAAATATAAAATGTATTATTTTAAAGCTACGTTGGACTTTTAACTAAATCAAAATTATTTATTTAAATTACATTACGAAAATTTTATGCGTAAATAAATACATTTCATTACTCAATATTCTATACTCAATCAAAAAAAAATCAAGTCTGTAAAATTATTTTAGAAACTTAAAATAGTTTTTACAAAGAGTGAAATATATGAAAATGTATGAACATTTTTATAATCTATACATGTAATCAATTTTATATATATGATTTTGTAACTACTGAAGTAGTTACATTTTATGATAGTTTATAATAAAACTTTAGTTAAATCTAATATGTTATTCATGTAGTGATATAACGTAAGAATATTCAAAAATATTTTTTGGGTAATATGAATTGTCTTGAGAATATTATTTTGCATACTATTACAGAAGAATGTAGTATTTTAAAATATAGAAGTAAATAATTTTTTTAAAAATATTACATCATATTTGAAAATTGTTTTAAGTATATATATTGTAAATTTATTATGAAAAAATTATCATCTTATATTTGGTTGATAGTTTTATGATCACTAAAATCTAGTTTAAATAAGTTTCTAAAATAACATTCGAGTTAAAAAATGATTCAATGATTTAATAGTGTATTTTTTATTTCTATAACTAACCTTCATCCATAGTCGTATCTGTAAGATAAAACAAAAATTCATACACATTAGTGTGTAAAATCAAAATTAACAAAACTTTTGATGATTAAAAAAAATTAATTTTACTCATTAATTTAGTTTAGGGAGTTCTTTTAAACGCTAGTCTTCTTGCGGAAACACATTTAGTTCCAGGCCAATTTATAATCGGTGAGAAAACTAATCTAACACTACGTAATGGAATCTTATGTACATCATATAAGATTACAATATACATCCTACATTTTTAAATAGTAAAATAGTTGTAATACATTTGTCCTGTGCCAACATTAAAGTTGTTTTCCTCAATAAATTCGAGTGCGCATGCCCAAGCGAACAGTGTTTGGACGACCGACAGCGTCGTCCCAGCAATATTCCGATACGTATATTATGAGCAAGGCACACGATCGTGTGCGTGCGGGTACGGTTAAGCCGCGATGTTATGTACGGGTTTTAGACGACGGCAGTGCGTCCATACGGTAAAATATCAGTATATTACTATATTGGGTAATTTATTTTAAGAATTAACTACGTATTCGCTCGTCGTTAACGGTTGCTATAGTTGTATAATTTCTATTATTACTATGTTCATTTCTATTTTCTACTGCGAATTTTTAAATAATAATATGTTTATTGCGTTTTATTTTATTATATTTAATTTGACAATTTTTTATACCGATGACTATTATATTTAAAGTTGTACCCCCACCACCAGCAACCACAAACCACCACTGGTAAATATGTATCATTTAATAAAACAGAAGATACAATTAAAGATGCACCAAAAATTTCCCCATTAAATTACAAAAAAAAGTGAGATTTTATTTAGTGGATCAAACTTCTCAGGCACTGAATTATTAAAAAAATTATTAAAGAAACTATATTTCATGTTATTTGAAAACGAAATGGATATAAGACTGAAAAATAACATAATAAATATGTATTTAAAAATATATAAATCGGTTAAAATAAAAAGCATATTTTTTTAAATAGATCATCATACCTGAGTCTTTAATTAGCACGAATTTACTTAAATAATCACTGAAATTTTCTTTAGTACCAAACATTTCTTCCATGATTGGATTTTCTATTAGGCTCTAATTTTTATTTTGTATATAAATTACAATTTTTCATCATGAAAACCAAATATATTCATAAAAAATTATGTGTAAAACTTACGAGAGAAACTTGTTTTTTCAGTTTACTGTGTAAATTGCTATCTCCACATATTATATTAGACAAAGTTCTGAATAAATAATGTCTATTGTTCAGTATATCAACAGGAACCACATTTATAGTTAAGAGCTGGTGCGTTACAGGTTCTTTATATGTAAACCCCAAGCTACTACATTTTTCTCTTTTCCATTCGTCATCAACTGGATTAAAGTAATATGGAATTTTTAAATCACCTATATTAAACTTGAATTCTCCATCCTGTGATTCGACATTTTTAATAAACTTAACAACCTGGATAGTTCAGAAAATTCTTAATACAATAATATTTAATACAAAGATGAGGAATAATACAATTTTATTGACATATTATTTTTAAAATAACTTCTCAGCTTCGCATCGAAGCTAAAAGTTATTGCATTTATACTCAGTACACTTTAAAATTTTTTTAGTACTGTAGACTAACCGATATTACTTAAATAATCTAAGTATAAGTAGTAATTTTATTATACAAATGCCTATTTAGTGAGCTAATTGACACTCTTATATCAGGTCCGATACAATATTTTTAAGTTTTAGGTTTTTTTTGTCTTATTTTTATATATTTCTTTAAAAAAATATTATTTTGACCTAATTCACGTAAAATTTATGATTTACAAAAATGGCTATTTGAGATCAAATAAAAAATCAAAATTAAACTAAATTTTGATGTGTATAATCATGTATTATTTTAATATACATAGCATTATTTTAGAAATTCTTTCTTCTCTTACAGTTATAAATTAATTAACATTATTATTTATTAAATAATAAACATCTTTATTCAGTTAATCGTCAAAAAACCTAAAATTTCAACATAGGTGCTTCTGGATTTTGAAATACCTATTTAGTAATGTTTAATAATTGAGATGCTTATAAGTATAAAATTATAATGAAATTTTCAATTTATTTCAGGAGACAAAAAACTTATTTAATAAAAAAGTATTATTATTTTTATCAATTTAGAATCTTCATCTTTTTTAATACTTTCAAAACAATTATCTTTTTAGTTAAAATTTTTAGATTGAATTCTTATTCTTATAAGTGTCTCAATTGTTTAAAATAAATAGCTAATTATTGTAAGTATTTTCTAAATAATAATTACCGATTCTATTACAATAGACTTGGTGTAATAAAATATGCAGAAAAGTAAAAATAATTTTATTAAAGTATTCATTGTTTGTCAATCTTTAGCGAGCACTTCAAAATCAATTTAAAAATAATTACTAAATAAAATTATTGATCCTGTTTTATTCAATTAAATTTTCAATAAAAATTGTTGTTTTGAGTTAAAACACGGTGTGTTTATTCCTAGATTAATATCAGTTTACAACATTTGAATAAATATATTTAACAGGTATATATATTTTAGTACATTTACATTATTAATAATAAAATTATAAAAAAAAATATCACAATGAGGATGCGGCTAATTTAGGATAAGATGATATCTACACATCAATATCATAATAAAATGTTTTTATGTAAATCTTTTAAAATTATGTTGAACTAATGCATTATAGTCTATTATTTGTAAAACTAATACATCATTTTAACAAAATTATTTTATTAAATATTATCCATATCAATACTACAACCAAAGCGATACATAGTATGAATAACCTATAGAACTGTTAGCTTCAGTAGTAATTTTTTATAGTAGATAAAACAGATTTTTAGAAACGATTTTCTTTTTAGGATAATTATGTACCTTTAATGAACCTTAATTCCGCGGAGATTTTGATTTTTCGATGTAATAGTCAAATTAATACAATAAACTGAAACTCTATAAAAGCGATAACAACAATGTCTTTAGAAATTGTAATTTTACTGTCATATAAAAGGTGCTGTTTTTCATTAAAAACCCAGCTCTGGATTCAATCCATAATTTGATATGTCTTTTGTCGAATTTTAATTATATTTAATAAAAAAGAATAATTATTGAATTTTTGTGTGTGTGAATTAACGAAATTTAAGTAAAATATTTGAACTTAACAACTTTGACTGTTAACGATCTTGTTCATCAATTTTATGTGAGCTTTTTTAAAAAAAAAGTGAATTTACTTTACTCCAATTCTTCAGAATTAACAATTTCAGTAAAAAACTATAAAACATTAAATCAAATATAAATACATCAAAAAAACAAGTTAATCATATCACATGTTCTGAAAAAGTGCTAGTGGAAGATAAGGTATTTATTAAATTTAAATTAAATTCGGAGTCTGATGTAAATATAATCTCACTAAAAATATTTAATAAAATCTTAAGGTTAACTAGAAAATGTATGAAATTGAATAAAAAAAAAATTAGTGTATAGGCACACGGGTACTAATATTGAAGTGTTAGGGATGATTAAAATAAAAATAAATTTAATGGAAAATAACGAGATCATGTCTTTAGTAGACTTTGTTGTAGCAAAGAATTGAACAGTGTCCATTTTAGGATTACAAACGTGTATTAAAGTAAATCTAATTAGTAGTACAAGAATTTATGAAATATAACAAATAAGTTTAAAAAAAAAACAAATAATACATATATTATATGATATATACATATACACTATATATAAATATAGTAACTTATTTAAAGGAATAGGTTGTTTTAAGAAGCAATACTCAATTAAGTTAAAAGAAAACCATATACTAACACAAATACTTTTAATTTTTCTTTAATTTTATAGTTTCTATAAAAGTTAAAAAAAATTAAAAGTAGAAACAAACCGTTTGTGTGAGCTTGGTATTATATCCAAAATTAATGAACCAATTAACTAAGTAAAATAGTAATTGTTGAGAAATTAATGGATCAATAAGAATGTGTTTGGACTCTTATTTTTTTTATAGATTTAAATAATGCTATATTCATTATAAACTTTAAATGACTTATCTACTGAATTAGGTAAATTAAAAATATTTAGCTGTCTTAATTTAAAAGAAGAATTTTTCTTATACCATTGGATAAAAAAACCCAGCACAGTGGGGTCGCGGCATAGTGGGGATGTTGCATAGTTGGGTCCAGTATAGATTTAATCTGACAGTGATTAAAATCACTATCATAAGAAACGCTTCGATGCAAATCAGTAGATAGTGTTTAATTCTAAGAAATTGGTGGATAATTACAAAAGCTACATTATCTGCTAGTTTCTTATTAATACCCTGATTAAGATAAAGTATGTCGAATGAAAAAGGGATTATTAAAAAATATTATTTCTCATAAAAAAATTGTGTTGATTCGTACACTTTTCAATGAGTTATAGCATTATAAAGTTAAAAATGTAACCAACCCAACCCAACATCAACTCCTATTTCCTTAATTATATCCAGATTAGTAATTATTTTAATTATATATTATATAATTTTTATAATTAATTATTTTCAAATTATTATTGANGTAAAGGTATTTCAAAAATATATCACAGAATTGTTTAAAGGTATATAAGGTGTTATTATACATGTTGATAACATATTAATAATTTCTGAAAACAATTGAACAACATAATAAAAAATTTATATAAGTTATTTAGCTCAATCCATGCCAAATCATCCAGAAGTGGTTGCACGACCACCTCATTTTTTTCTTAAATTTTCAGGGTTTATTTTTTATGCTATATTTAGATTAAAACAATTGTTGTTTTTATGGCTACGCCATTTTTATGACTATTTCAATGTTAAAAATAGCCAGAACGTTAAAAAACATACAGATTAATCAATATTGACTTAATCGAATTAAAATTTTAGACTTAATATTATTATAACTTAAAGTTTACAAAAAAAAAAAAAAATTGATGTAAAATTCTAAACACTAATGACTTTCTAAAAATGGCGTTTTCTTTGTGAAAATTGGCTTTTTTGAGCTCACTTAAAACCAATAAGAAGTTATTATTTTATAGTGATGTTCAAATGTGGTATTGCATACAATCTTACTTAACAAAGATAATAATTTTTTTTTAGATATCACATCAGCTGACGAAGCAAATATTACGAGTTTTATCATGATTAGTAATCATTGATTACAATTACTTGATCGCATAATTTTTAATGGTTTAATGCTGTTATTCCCACTAATAACTGATCAATAACATTACACACTTGAATAGAATCGTGTGCTTATCTATCCGCCTAACTTGTCTATGTTTATCCGAGAAGTAATGAAATTACAGAAAAATCAGCTGGGACAGCGAAAGAAATTTTAGAGTAAACTATTGAGTCAAAAGTTGAATTACAAGCCATGCTAATGGAATATAGAAATACGCCAATATCAAAAACAAATATATCACCTACTATAAATAGTTAAAGTAGAAGGTAGTTTTTAAAGATAAACCTTATGGAAACCTGCAGAAGTTGTAAAACAACATGATACACCAAGATCAATAATCTTAATAGATGAAAATAGCAGATTTAAAATAAGAAGCCAAAAAAATAAGAATGTAATTGTAATATTCATAATTATTTTAAAAGTATATGATATAATACAAGTCAATAATGTAATATTAGCTTCGATGCGAAGCTAAGAAGGTATTAATTTTACCATGATGTGTTTATTTATTTATTTATTTTTTTTGTGTCTGTCACTACTTTTTCTCAGCTCTCACTGGACCGATTTCTTTCGAAAATACGTCAAAAGATCACAAACCGTATCTAGTTGAAGACATTACCCTTAAAAATTGAAAAAAATTCCCCCGTTCCCCGCAAATGGGGGAAATATCCAAAAAAATTACAAATTTAAAAATCGCTAATTTTCGAATTTTTTTCACTTTTATTTCTTAAAACTTCCATAACTTTTTGAAAAATCAACAAATCAACATAATTTTTTTTTATACTAAAACCTTAGATATTTACCTTTCATTTGATATCATTTTTTTGAAAATTTAACACTTAGCCTGCTCATGGGGGGG